TTGCGTATTGCGTATTGTGTCAACCGGAATGATATAGTCGTAGACAGTCTATTCAATTAAATCAAGTTAGTCGGCTATAGCAACTAGGTGTTTGTAGAGCAGTAAACATACCTGAAGTTCTGTTATGACTTCGGGCGCTACGGTATCCTGCGTGACCAGGGCGGCCAGCTTCTTAGTTGTGCCAGCATCTCGTAGGGAGTGCGCAAGCACCAAAGCACCTTGAGAGAGGTTAGTGAATCGATCGCAAGACGGTTGGAGTCGTAAAACATACCAGGTAAATATGTGTCGCTTAGAAGAAGCTATATGCGGACGTGTATTAGCTATTATTCATACGTTCGATGAATGTATACAGGATTCACTAACTGTAGCGTACACATCCTCCTGCGGTCCATCTTGCGCAGCCATTTTGTGCAAGAAGTGGCGGTCAAATCACGCCGAAAAAGATATGGTCGAGAGGGGTAAACGAAGTAGATAGATAGATAGATATATCAAGAATATAGACGCTAAGGACGTATATTGGAGTTCAAAATTCGTCAAGCTGTTTGCTCATGAGATAGACTATAAGATAGCTAAATGAGAAGCAGTGAGGAAGTTAAGTAAAGCTAGAAGAATCATAAATAATAGTGTAGCAAGCCAAGTTGTTTTTATCTATGGCGATGAGGCGGGATGGCTGGTCTAGCCAGTTGGCTGCAAATAACCCTGCAGTGTATTTTTTCTTCTTCTTTGGACTCGCCTTCCAAGAGACAAGGTTGAAGAGGAGATCATCAAAATGGACCGTAGTCGATATGCAAATGCAACGCTAGGTTACTTCCATCAACAAGATGAACAAGGATTTATGTGGATTATATGTATTTACTTACATGTCCTTGGTCCAGCGATGCACTTATCTGGGTCTCAAGCTTAGTGTTTTGTCTGGAATAGTTTAAGGCACTGTTTAAGGCGTTCAATATTAGGCATATGTGCTTCAACCTAGATTTAGTTTGACGGTTTAGAGATAGGATTGGTCCAAATATACTAGGCTATGATTCCCAACTGAAATTGATAGGTATCAAGAGTCGTATGTTCTCGAAAAGTTTTGAAGATTGAAAAATTTAAAAAATACGCAATACGCGGACATGTGCATAGGTAAGGTACATATGTACTCACATATGTACAGTTGAAAGATAAATACGACAGCCGTTGAAAGATGAGGGACTACAATACCTACGGACCCACTAGAACCATATCAGCACCCATCAGAGCACAGACCTACGTACTAAAGCCCCGTAGCTCCACACTACGCCCACAGGTACTTATTGGCCTATGTCCACTACGACCTGGGGATTTAGAACTGGATAACTGGAAGTTATCCACCAGCCCACATCGTGAATTATGCCATTTGCTATCGTTTCTTGTCTTGGACTTGCGAAACCTCGAGGCGACTAAAGACAAGATCGAATCGGTTGGTGAGGGGGCACCTATTTTTGCTTACGGCCCCTCCCTGCCCTCCTGGCTGGGGAAGGTCTCGAACGTTCTCGTTTTTTTTCAGCATTGACAGTTATCCACAACACCACATGTATCCACAAATATCTACGAATCCTAACAAATTTTAGAATCTTTTCGCCTTTCCTTACACCAGTAAACAACGATCAGGACCCACGAGCGCAACAAGCAAGTTTAACATAATAAGCGCGCCACCCAGCATACATATAGATAGATAAATTACGTCCAACCATCAACGAGGGGAGAGAAGGGAGAATATCAACAATTTTTGGAAACATGAAAATTCTCAATATTGAGGTATTTGGGTGGCTGGTTAAGAAGAACATTATGGTTCGGACCACATGTTAGGGAACCCAAGGGCTTAAGGTTAGTGCAACCAATCTGCCAATCTACCCAATCTACTCCTCCCAAGCAAGGAAGTACATATGTCATCCACCTAAGCACATGTAAGTATTGTTTTACACATGAGATCTGTACATACTTCTGCATGCCGATCCCGACAATTCGAACTCGGAGATACACGTATTACATGTATGCACTCGAGTTATAATCCAGCCTAACACACAAGGACATATATAAAGTTATGTAAGCAGCTTGTGTATACTATTAGGTAATGTAGAATGACGACACTTCCACTTTATAACCGTAACCTCCCTTGAATGGAACTATCCGATGGCGAATCAGGGGTTGAGTTTGGGGAGCCCCGCAAAGCGATCTTAGAGAATCTGACTACTTACATGTACATAGGTAACCAGCATCAATAGAGTTAACTGAAGAACCCTGGTTTAGGAAATAGCTCTGCCTCTTCTTTCCTTTCTTTAAAGTACATGTAATGAGAGAAATGGGTGAGGAATCTAGGGAAAGTCTAAATTGCCACACGTCCCGCCTTCCAATGTTCTAACATGAATGTTCAATGTTACATGTGCACTAGTTACGTGCACGTATCCATACTACATAGATCTTCAACGCTTCTATGGATTCCGAACGGTCTGGGTTTTACAACTCCATAACTCCACATCTCCATATTTCTTTACACATACACTATGACTGTGCAGTCTTGTTGCTGGTCCATCCAACATCAGCCTAACATACCCAGGTATCTACGGAAAACTGCCCAACTTCAAATTATTCGATAACGCCCACGTCTCTTACAGGTCAGAAGCATCTTGAAAAATTTTTAAGGCATCGCGGCTATTCGACTTCAAAAGCTTCTCCAAACATTATTCATTATACACCACACTAGTCGGGCCACCGGGAATTGTGGATCTTTCTTATTCCTCTATTCCCTATCGGCAGGCCGGACCGGACTCGAAAACGTCATGCTACGAACAGGAAACAAGAGAGGTCCTCACAAGAAGGTTACTCGCCCCTCTCTAGCGGTGATCACGGAAAGCAGTCAATATAGCAATACTAGTGAGAGCTCCGCAGTAAGCACGAGGCATTTCCATTCCATGGGACTTGATATCCCTAGAATATATGCGATCGTTAAGTCTATATCATATAAGCACGCAAGTGCGTTACTACAACCCGACCCCATGGCTCTTCATCTCCCTCCCCAGATCGCGTACCGGGGTACTCAGTAATATACCTTATAATTAATAATATACTCATAGACATTAGCTGCTTGTGTCCATACTCATTACGCTTCCTTCTAACGATATGCTGTCTTTATGACATAATATAATGAAACTAATGAGAACACCTTCTTTATCAGGTCAGCCCTTCTACTAGACACATCAGCGATGATGATACAGGTAGCTCAGGGGCCAACTCCCCATTCCTCGAACTCCCATTCGAGTTGCGTCTAGAGATATACGAGTATCTCCTCTGCTCTCCGGATGATATCATAATATCTTCAAGACGTCGTCAGATTTATTGGTACCGTCCACAACTGCCTACGTGCGAGCTTCGCCGCCTTCCCCACCGAATGCCACATGTAGAGTTGCTACGTACCTGCAAGCAGGTAAATTCAGAGGCAACTCCTATTGTTTACAGGAAAAATAGGTTCCTCGTAGTCTGTACGTCCCCTGAGTTCATACAAAGCAAAGCCTAGATTGTATACTGACAACGTGGGTGTTATGGAGTGCCTTATATGGCACCATTCTGCCCTATGAACTTCTTCCTATGGAGTTTGCGGCGATCGACCATATCTAATGTGACCTCTATCATGTTCGTCTTTGCCTGTCGCGATAATTGTCCACTGTGGCTCGATTTGTGTCCCATCATCAAAGGGAAGTTCATGAACCTGAAGAAATGGACTACAACGGGACCACAGCTGGTCAAATTATGCTTTCCGTATTATAGCCAGTCACATTGGCTACCTCTATCAAGCAGAATACGGGACGTGTATGCTCATATTCGTATTGAAGCCCTCCAGGATAAAACCGCAGTACTGAAGGGGTATGACTGTGGCAGACATAGGGAAATGACACTAGGCAGACCGGACCGCAAGAAAGAATTGGCACCGATGAGATTCTAGTTCTTTAGATTGCTCACATCTGTTTGGTTGCGTAAACCACACACGCCAGCACACTTAATATTGTTGCCCTACATCTACGGTTTTGTTGTATTTCAGCGCGGATAGAGCGTGGGGAAAACGAGCTCTAGGAAATTTCTCATGGTAGTGAGAGTAATATGATACCTCCCGAGTAGCGTAACGAGACTTTCGAATAAACCTAGTTCCCGGTGAAAGGTTTTCACTGGGCGAAAATCCTTTGGATATATGATCTTACGTTACAATGACTGACTGATCTTATATCTTCAGACAACGAGGGAGGCTACCAACTGATACATGTTGATTGGTTTGGAACTACACTTATTGATGATGACGTGTCTGCGTTCATGTAACCTGCTCGCAATTTATCTTGGTCAAAGGGGCCTATTATATTAAGGTAGGGAAAAGGACTAGGATGGGATTCCTATAGGATAGAAATTGGTAACTTAGCCTCGTATTACTTATTAAATGACCTCTATCTACCATCAAGTATCGCGAGTAATATCGACCCCTTTAATCATAGGTCTCCGGAGCTCATAATACCACACTCGCCTGGAATAATAACACACACACAGGGCAAGCTTGAACATATAGACGTCTAGGAATACTCTAAGGCGTGTTGGATATTTGAAATTAAGTTTATGAAAAGCCCGAGCAGAAACCTCGCCCGAAACACTACAAACCAATTGTGATACACCCCTGAAGCCGAAATCCCGCCGTTTGATTCCAATACGAGCTGCCAGCATATCACTCTCGCCAGCGTGTTCTACTACCAGAAGTGAAGGCCTATGGGCTTAATAAATATTACTACTACGTTTATAAGCCTACGCCCATATCTTTCCCGGGACGACTTCTATTCTTTCCCGCGTTCATTTCCCACTCCTCTACGTAAAACGCCATGACGGTTCACCATATGCTCAAATGCCTCATAACTAACCACCCTCGCGCTATATGAATATCGCCGGTAACCAATCTTGTCCCGGACGCCTAGGTAAGATACCATGCCACCTCACAACACATACGATCATAGATCCTTGCGGAAGCTATGCTCCGGCTTATGCGTAGTCTCGTAGTCAACATGAACATAAGCGCGCTCGATATTCGGGAGCTTCTCGAGCTCGGTCTGCAGACCCTCTGAAACATCATGAGTGGTGCGGAGAGGGTCGTCGGGGTCCATGACGATGTCGATCTCGGCGATGAGCTTGGGGCCGGAGTGGTAGACGCGGACGGTATCGATGCCGAGGATAGCGTCAGAGTACGTCAGACATACGTACGTGATGAGGCGGTGGACGTCGATATCGGCCGCGCGCCCCACTAACGTCATGAACTCCTCGAACGCCTGGTGCAGCCACGCGCCGCTGATGATCAGCGAGATGATGATCGCCCCCATAGGGTCAAGCCACCATGCTAGCTTCGATCCGCCGACGGAGGTGAGCACACCGAAGCCGTTGATTAGGAGGTCGTTGCGGTGGTCCTGCCAGAGAATATTCACCTGGCTGTACTTGTCCTTAATGCCCCAGCAGTACATAAACAGGCCGAATTTCGTAGCAAAAGCCACACACACCGCGATCACCGAGGGCAGGTGGAAGCTATTAACTTCGGCCGTCGTGCCTCGGCGGTTCGAGATGTCCTGACACGAAAAGGCGATCAGGATGGCAGACACGGCCGTCATCATGAAGCAGAACGCGATGTTTCCTACCGTCTCTAGGCGTGCCTTACCGGACGGGAACCTGTTAGGATCCACCCGTTTCATGGACTGCTGGACAAGGATTAGGGTGAGGTTGCTCAAAGGGTCGAAGACGGCGTCGGCCATGGTGGTGAAGAGAGATAGAGAGCCGGAAGACACGGCGCCGTAGATCTGCAGTGCAGCCAAGAACACATTGGCCACGAAGGAGCCTATGACGGCAATCTTAACCCGTAGGTTGTCGTCACCGGCCTCGTTCTGGGCTTCGGTGGAGTGCTCCTCCACCGATTTGAGCATTTGCTTGATCGTGTCATTCTGCTTGTGGTAGAATGTCTGGACCCTTCGTGCTCGGAGGGTAGACGTGAGCTGTTCGATACTTGAGCTAACAGCGCCCGTACGCTTGCGAGCGGTGTTAGCTTTGATCTCGTCTAGCTGCTCTGGCGTCTTGAAAGCCGAGGACAAGTTATAAGGGTCACTGCCGCCATAGCGGTTGGGACCGGTCTGCGACTCGATATCTGCAGCTGTACTAGCTGGGTGGCGAGCTACAGGGTGGTCACCGTTCTCGTCCATGGCTTCTACACCTGTGCTTGTGGCATTGTGGTGAGGGATACGGGAGTGAGACTGTGATACAGGTGTGTGGACCGAGGACCGCGAGCTAGAAGCTTGCCCGTGCTGGTAATCGCTTAAATGCGAGCGCGAGGCCGCAGAAGGCGAGATGTCAGATGCCATAGCCTTAAGAGAGCTCGGACATACAACCGGAGATGCCAATTACTCCTATCTGTAGGTGAGGAATTAGATAAGGCGCAGAATATAAGTTGCGATGCGCAAGGGAGAGAAGTAGGATATTTATACGGTCCCCCACTCCTGGAGTACCAGAGTCAGAGAATATGTTATTCTCGACGTTGCTGGCCTCTATTTACACACGAGTTAGTAAATAATTAAATATGAAGCTTACCTGTGATCAAGCTTATTGATTTGAACTTTTAATTACTTGTAAGCAAGAGCTACAAGCACCGTGTCTCATAAAATGTAGTACAATTATGTAAGATTAGGTAGGTAGAATTGAGGAATAAAGTCTTTGTAGGGATGTGACGTAAAGACGTAGATTTGCAGAATGTGCAAGCACTAACAAGACTATTGAGCGGGAATTAAATAAAACATAAGGTAGTCACGACATTACCATTACCATTAATTACCATTGCCATTGCCAACATTTCCAACTCCAAGCTTTTAGCGGTGAGAACGCGGTAAATAACCACTAGTCTACCTACCTAGGCGGTACCTACCACCTTTATCCCTCGACTCCAAGAATGAGCACACTATGACGAACGAGCTTAGCTTCGTGTGGCGAAGAGCCGAAATGCGAAGAGCGGTAGATGAGATAAGGCAAATAACCCAAGCCCACGCCACGCCGACTCAAATCAAAAAAAGGGTGCCAACTCCGGCAACCCAACACGCGCTCAAATCCGCCATTGTGATTTGTCTACACGAAATAGACAAGACAATGGGTACCTAACTAACTAGCCCAGGTACCTACGTAGCGTAAGCTGACCGTAAGTGGAGAAGGACAAGTAGCAAGCTTGCAAAAAAAATGTTGAATTGCGAATAATTCAACCTCGGCCGCCCGAGGCGAAAACTGACGCGCGATTTTCGTTCGACGAGGTTGATTAATCTTCTGTTGTGGAAGATTGAAAGTTTTTGTCTGTGCGGCTAAGAATGAGTAAAATTAAAAAAAAAAATCAATGCAGACGTCAAACGGATCAGGTCGAACTTTTATATACTAGGACAAGGGCTGCTGTAACAGCAAATCGTCTGATGAATTCGGGTCCCGCCGGGAAATGCTGTGCGTCGAAAAGGGACCCTACATATTCGAAGTACCTTGGTACAATACGTATATGAAAGATAGGCGATTTTCGGGAGGTTTAATAAGAACCGTGACATCTATTTGATGTATTTGATGAATTTATCACAGGTCGAATTCCAATATTTAACCAATTTTAAAGCATATTAATCTTTAAAGGCGAATCTAATACACTATAACTGACGCTGTTACTATTCATAACCTCTTGTATTTGGAAATGCATAGCAATACCGCATATCTCACTTCTCACTTCTCTACCTCTTAGCCAAATAGTAATCTAGACAACCTTGGAAGTCATCGCAAAATTGCAGTTCTATCAGTCCCCTAATCCAGTCCAGTCAGGTCTAAATCATTCCCATTCAACATTTATACCACCCATATATAGTTTCCTCTAGGGGTATCAAGTCCGGTCCTCCATCCTTCATATACTGAGCACCCTAACCATATACCCTCATGCATCCGCGCGCCTTAGAGGATGCGCCTCGGTATTCAATACCCATTCGTCCAAGTTAGCCAAGTCCCAGTCACCAAATATCAAGTAGAAATATTTGAGCGTCTCAGCCAGCCAGAAGCTCTCCATGCTGTCCACCTGCACCGGCTTCTTCACAGTTATGTCATCTAGTGCCGCCGCGGCGTACTTCGATCGTGTCCACTTATCGACGGCTTCGAACATGGCCCACGCCTGCTCCATGTATTTGGGATCTCCTGTCATGCGCCACATCATAAACACGGACTCGATGGCCTCGGGGCGCAGTAAGTACCGACGGTCGTCAACATTAACCATACCGAGGGGCAGACGTCGCGCCTCTATGATGTTGTCCTTGACCTGCTTGTCAGAAAGCGTATCACCCTTCATATTGCGACCCCAAAATTTCCTAATCGCCTCCGTCCATCGCGCCTCGCTCCACTGACAGTCGTCCTTAGTAACGTCCGGGTCGCAAGGGATGAAGCGGAACAGCTCGGGCCCAATACCCGAGTCAGTTTGGTTGTACGACCACACACACCCCTCCGTCAACTGCTCTGCTATAGCTAGGTCCGACGGGCGGTCGAAGATCTTAGCTGCCATACCCACCATACCTCCTGCAAAGCATGTCAAATGTTGCGCTATCGGGGTATTCACAATCTGCTCGCCGCCCTCGGGCATCGAGACAACCCTAGTGTCGCCGAAGAAGAGCAGCTTGAGGTTGTCTGGGTTTAAAGCACGACGGAGAAGATGCTTCTTCGCAACATCTATGAAGCCTTCGTACATCCTGCGGGGCTGATCAAGGGCGCCTCCGAGCAACAAGTACTGCTTTCCGAGATACTCAAAGGTACTATCGGCCATTCCACCGAGCGTGAACGAGTCCCCGGAAGACTTGAGAGGCGTTTTTGAAGGGTCCACTATGATCGGCCACATTCCTGGTAGCACAGTCGTTTTTTGATCTTTTTCTAGGCCGTCGGCTATTCTTTGTACGACATCGTAGTATTGCATATCACCGGTCAATTGAGATAGCTTGGTGAGCTCAAGACTTAATGACCCGACTTCGGCTAGCAGAGCATGTCCCGGAGCTACCTGCGGCTTACCCCTAGCATATTCCTTCCAGGGGAACCGCGTTATGGGCATGTGGTTCGGCGTGTCGAAACACGACATCACCAGATCGGCAACTTCGGTCGCCTTTCTAAGAAGGCCTGGATATTGCATCTCACTTAGCTCGTATGCCGCTAAGAACCCCCCAAGATATCGAATTGTCGTCTCGAAAATGTTGATATCACGAGTCTCCGTGGTTGTGAAATCGATTGTCTCACAAGCCTTCACCGCAAACTCAAAATCCTCTTTCATATCAAGGAGCCATAGACTGTCTAAGGAATCAACGAGGGTTGCTGCCCACCCGGCAAAAGGATCTTTATGCAACCCCGAGAGGGGTTTAATCTCATCATGACCCCATGCAAATTTCTTATACCCATTCCAACTGTGTCTGAAGCTATCCTTGATAGCAGCAAGTCTTCGCAGCCGCAATTCCTTATCAGAAGCACTCTCCTTCGGTCTTGCGACTTGTACACGCGGTATTCGTTTGGAAGGCTTGTTGGTCGGGAGCGTAGCGAGTTTTTCCACGGGGTATTGAGGCGGACGCTTTTCCCACTTCAGGCCTCTGGAACCAGCCGAGGCCGACGTAGGACGATTCCCCGGACCACGCGTATGACTAAAAACACCCGAACCGGCGGGCGGGTGCCAGCTATAGTACCAAGATGCAAGTACCCAAATGGCAATCGCAGCGAGAAGTATTCGGACTCGTCGAACGCCCATAGCTGCGAACTATATCGGATTGAGACGTAGATCTAACGTATATTACTCTAAAACAAGGCTTCAAAGCTAGCGAACGCAGTCGGAAAGAAGCAAATATTCACATCGCTCGAGCACGGATTGTATAATATCAGCCCGGAGAACTGACGAAAAGGTCAGCTTTCCTAGAGGCAAGCAGATAAGAGATCTTGAATTCGTAGCTAAACATCAGATGAATAGATTATTACTGTTAAGGATTCGAGTAGCGGGGCGAGGTTTATATCATGGTTCGCGGAACGGGACTCTCTACGTGTCTGTGGGACGCAGTTAGAGGAGTTGGAGTCTCTATTTAGGTGGTATTTTTTTTAGTGGTAGTAAAGTCCGAATTAAAAGAAAAATAAACTCGAATTTAAAAAAGGGGTTCACATGACAGAGCTTCCCTGTCAAGCTCTTCCGCCTCCGTAAGCCACATAAAGTTATCCTCATTCTCCACCGCATAGCCACTGGCCCAAGCTCCTTTAGATAAAGACTATTAACCTAGTGAAGTCTTCGGAACTTGACTACAACCCCTAGGTTAATTCACTATTCGCTTGTTCTAGACTCATAGCTTTTGCTGACAAGGTGTTTTCGTATTTAAACCGGTAGACTTCGACTTCAGCTATCATGTCAATTAGGAAACGTGTATTCAAGTCTATCGAGTTACTAGCGATAACGGCATTGACGGTAATTATATCTAAAAGCAGTTCATGTTAGATTAACAAGTCACTGTATATACTCAATGTATAGGTTGTATTCACGAGCTTCTTATTTCAGTATCGCGGGGCTGAGCTAGGTACCTAGCTATTATGTTAGCAAGGTAATTTATGCTGAAATTGAAGAAGTACGAATATTTCGTAGGTACCTGACACATGTAAACTATCCACCAGATCGTACGCTAAGCTGTAGGATAATTTGATAATGAAATGTATCTTAGGTACCTATACGGTAAATAGTATTAGCGAGAGGGAAAGAAAGAGTGGCAAGCAACTGTTGTCGTACCCTGTTACAACCGATCATAGGGTAGATTTCATTCTAGAGTTATCTAGTAGTTAAGTATACACTTATGTAAATCGCCCCGTTCCAAAGCCTCACCTCTAAGTGTAGCTCCATCGACCCTGTATGGTTATAATGAACAAAAATATAGAAGACATCTATATCAAGGGTATGGCATGACTAAGTGCTGTGGGCATATCCGTAAGAATAGTTCAACATAGCACATAGTTTGGGGAGAGCACTTTCTGTCATCTTTAACACCTAGCCTCATGAAGAGTTAGGTAAGTCAAAGAGTTCTGGCTATGTTTGACCTTTCCATGTTTGCGCCTATGCGGAGGCCCCTACGTTAAGGCTACTATGTCGTATCTTAGGGGTTCTAAGTTGACGACTCAGGTTATGGAAGTCATCATACAAGCAATACTAGATGAAGGACGGTATCTCATGTCAATAAAATGTTATATAAGCGACAAACTACAAGGCTCCGGTCGTAAGATTAGAGACCTATAAATTTCACGATAGCAAAATAGTAGTGTGGGAGGGGACGTTAAGTCACACCAAGATTGACGTGCTATTGTTTTATCGGGAAATATAGAGTCAAGACAGCCGTTGGTGGAGGAGATCCTGCCCGTCTTTCAGCCTAACACCATTCATGTGTATATCACCACCCGAGCCGGCAATGTCAGCTCAATCAATAGCGTCCCACTGGCCACGGCCCCGAGAGAAAGAAAAAAGCTCATCGCAACATAAGAAGTGGGTATGACGGCAACAGGCTAGCTAAAGTCTAACAAATTCCTGTTTTCTTCCTCCATTTTATTTCTGCATCATTAGCTGGACGAACTCGTTGTCTAATGGTGCGAGTTAGTATGGACACAACTTTTAGTTTATGGAGGGTATTCACTTACAGTCGATGCGACCGTCACCGTCCTGGTCAGCCTCGCGAATCATCTCGTCAACCTCGTCATCAGTGAGCTTCTCTCCAATAGAAGTCATAACGTGGCGGAGTTCAGCAGCAGAGATGAAGCCGTTGTTGTCACGATCGAAAACCTGTTTGAATATAAGCGGCTGGGTATTTGTTTGCGTGGCTAAGAGATTCGAACCTTGAACGCTTCTCGAATCTCCTCCTCGGAGTCGGTGTCCTTCATCTTGCGTGCCATCATGGTCAAGAACTCTGTGCGACCCCAACGTCAGTAAGGCTCCGAGGTGGTACGACTTTGCGCCAGGCAGCAACAAACTCACCAGGGAAGTCAATGGTTCCATTGTTATCGGCATCGACTTCGTTGATCATGTCCTGAAGCTCAGATTCGGAGGGGTTTTGACCCAGAGATCGCATGACGGTACCTAACTCCTTTGTTGTGATTTGTCCTGGCAGTCTTAGGTTAGTTGACTTGGTTCGTTGGTATAGAGGCACGAGGTAGGCGAAGTAGACAGAGGTAGTTGTGGTATAGTTGCTTTTATCGATTCAAGCAAAAGTAATATGGCCATCAATATCGAGATAGTAACTTACCATCACCGTCTTTGTCCTATGCGAGCTATTAGCGGGTACGTCATCAAAGGCGAGACAATTCAGCAGCTAGCATCAATAGCTATGAAAAGTAAAGAAGTAATATAGGTCTAGAAAACACTTACGAAGAGGGAGAACGCCTCCTTGAACTCGGAGACTTGCTCTTCGGTCAGAGAATCAGCCTGTGATGGTAGAAGACGAGGTCAGCGCGAGTCCTATTTTCACCTCCTTAGAGCCCCTCATCGGCGGGGTTGTCTTTGGGTTGGCGGTGACTGTCTGAGAAGAGACATACCATGGTTGAGCTGTTTTCGAGATGCGATATATGTGTATAGGTTTATGATGAAGTTGTAAGGTAGCGAAAAGAACGAGTGTCACTTGTTCGCTATCGCAGTTAACTACAAAAGATGGAGGTTTGCCAAGGAGGAAGAAGGGCCTCTGGTTTTGAGAAGCGTCAAGGGTTGGCTCAATAATATTAGGAACAAGGCAGGGCTGGATTCCATAAAAATAGTGGGGAGAGGTGGATGATGGAGGGGCTTTTTGTATTTGTACGAAGTACGGGAAGTTATTAGGGGGTACCTCCTTAAAAAGTTAAGGGGGGAAGCCACTTTGGACTTGTACGTAGGTACATTAGCGGGTGGGGGGGGTCTATTGACATGGTGTCAGCAATGGTGATAAGGTGTGGACATAATGTCGGCCACGTAACAGTCAGGAATCAGTCCCCTAGCTGATTGGCTAATATGTACAATATGGTCACCCCCGGGGGTGATTGTATCCAAAATATAATGATAACCAGGTCTGAAATAGCTACCGTACGTACACGATTATATATTGTCGTAATTGTATTGCGTTTAAAATACTGATATATTAGAAAAGAATGACCTTTTAGGCATCGTTACCAACGGTAGTCACAGTCACCTAATCGATATATGTCACGTACAAGACCATGTCAGGCCAAGAGACTATGTCAGGCCAGGTAATCTAATATATAAAAAAATATAAAAAATAAAAGAATAGAAGGCCTTGTAATCTAAGGCAAGGCCTTCAACATACTTATATATACACAGCACAGGCATAGGCACATGTAAAAGTCAATTGAAAAGATTATGTCAATAGGTTGAATTACAGGCTACGATGTTACGGGCTACGTATTTTACCATTACACTACGAGGTCATTACGATTACGAATAATTAAAGTTTACCGTATTGCAGTATATATGCATACTCCAGGCCCTTATTTAACCTGTATATACCCGGGCCTGACATCGTGTTGAATTCCTGACATCGTTGTGGACATAGTGGCTACCTGGACATCGTCAACAGGCCTGGTAATTACGGCGAAATAGACAGTACCTCTGACATAATAAATACCTTGACATGCTATCTATTAGTACTGAATTATAAGTACCTGCAATGAAATCGGTACAACAAGCCTTGCAGACATTGTATTGACCTGTTGACATGGTCTTGACATGGTGTCAGGGCCTGTAATTATGTAATTATACTGACACCATTGCTGACATAATGTCAATAGACCCCCCCCACCCGCTAATGTAGGTACCTAAGGTACCTAAGGTACCTAACGGATAGAGGCAGCCGAGAAGATGTACCTTAAACCAAGCAAGTTCTAAATTTTTATATTTTTATTTTTTTATCCCTACTGTCTCTTGTAGCCTACCTAATTTATTAAAAACTACCTATACATACACCTAAAGTCCTATCAAGTCCTACATAATCAAATGCATATTAGGTACATATGGTGCGACTACATAGAAGGACCGTGCGCTATAAAATGTACCTAGCTCATGCTACACTACCTAATGTATTCGGACATGTTAGCGGTGGAGGTTTAGCAGCTCGGTACATGTAATAGGCCAACATATTGACTTGCATCTATCCGAACCATTAACGCACGTTTAAATGCCAATCAAACCCGGATATTGAATCTACATGCACGTATCTATATGCGGGATGCTCGTGCGGAATGCTCGTCAGCCCTGCAACCCAAAAAGGAGAGTACGGGCCAGACTGGTCGGAGCTACGTCAGCTGTAAGGGAGCTGGCAACTCTGCATCTACTATGTACGCTGTAATGGAATCTGTACAATATACAATAATCTACGGATTACGAAGTATGTACATAGATTCGAGGCTCACTTTTATCGTCCGATTACTAACAGCTTAAACGCTTAACATAACATCGTTTTTCTAGTTTTACCGTATCGTCTCCCATACCCAATTCCTTTCCTTTCCCATCCAATATCAGAATAGCCAAAGTGAGGGTGTCAACACCTTCTATCCGCGTCCGCCATGTGGCGAGACCGCACCAACCTGTGAGCCTAGCCCACTCGTTATATATATAGATATATATATATATATACCCACGATGTCGCTTAAGACTTACAACCGAAACCTAATGTAGCTATATATCCTACCGCCAATCCTACGCCCACCACCCGGCCAAGAAGACGCGATACGGCCCCGGCCCCAGCGGCGACAGAAATGGCTTCCCGGAATTCGCCCGCGGTAGCGGCACCAGCGCCGAGGACCAGCAGGGTCTGCTCTCGGGCGCCGACTACCACGACGACGGCGACGCCGTCATCGAGATGGACCTGCTACCCCCGCGCTGGGCCGACATCAACGACGAGGTCTCGGACCTACTCGCCGAAGTCGCCCGCAAGTCGCAGACCCTCGAGCGCCTACACCAGAAGCACGTGCTGCCCGGCTTCAACGACGAGGAGGCCAAGAAGGCCGAGGAAGGCGAGATCGAGCGCCTGACACAGAGCATTACAAAGGCCTTCCACGACTGCCATCGCTGCATCCAGCGCGTCGAGCAGATGGTGCGCGACGGCAAGCAGAACGGCGCCATGACTAGGGCCGAGGAGACCATGGCCAAGAACATACAAATAAGCCTTGCGACGCGGGTGCAAGAGGCAAGCGCCGGCTTCAGGAAAAAGCAAAGCGCATACCTAAAAAGTAATTCCGCCCTCGAAAACGCCGGCGATTAGACCCCCAGTGCTAACACTCACTCCAGAGCTCCGCGGAATGTCCGGCCTAGGCGCCACATCCCCCGTCGGCGAGCGCAGCTCGACGCCCCTCGGCGGCACCAGCAGCAACACCTATGCCGCGGACCCATCTCTCCTCGAATCCGATGCCGACAGGTCATACTCGCAGTCCGCGCTACAGCAGACGACACAGCAGCGCCAGCTCCACTCCAACGACGCGGTGATCCTGCAGCGCGAGCGCGAAATCGAGGACATCGCGCAGGGCATCATCGAGCTGTCGGACCTGTTCCGGGACCTGCAGACGATGGTCATCGACCAGGGCACGATGCTCGACCGCATCGACTACAACGTCGAGCGCATGGCCACCGACGTCAAGGGCGCTGATCGCGAACTCGTCGTCGCCGCCGGATATCAGAAGAAGACTACTAAGCGCAAGCTTATCCTCTTACTCGTCTTGCTCATCGTCGGCGCTATAATACTCCTGGCCTTGAAACCGAAAGGCCGTGGTGGTGGTGGTGGTGGTGGTGGTGGTGGTGGTGGGGAGAGTAATGATGGAGGAACTGATGGGGGAGGCGACGAGGGCTGATGAGAGAGCATTTCTGGGTTATGCTTGTTGTACGTTTGGGAGGTATGTAGGAAATACGGTATATCATATTTTAGCTCAGGTCAGGTCACTGAGCTATTCGAACTAGAGTTGTCGAGCCACCTATCACGGGCATGGGAGGCACCGACGAAATCCTGTATCAGACAAGTTTATTTAAATCTTAATTCTGTCTCATGAAGGTGTATACCCTCTCGTCTATGATCTATATAAATCTGTGAGTATCTTTATTCTATATTGCATATGTACATAGGCGTTAAATCTATACTACAGCACGATACGGAGTTGAGGTATTGTCTTCCCCATACTTTGTAGATATTCTCTATCTCGTATCATCACCTCACGGCCGCGAGTCTCAATCTCCTTTTGGAGCGTCTCAAGCGGTGGAAGGAGTTCTTCTCCCCAAGCCTCATCCAGACAAGATTTCATTTCCTTCAACGTTAGACTATTGTTCGCTCTAGCCACTTGCCATACTCTCCTCGTTGGATAACCAGGTCCATAGAAGGTGATTAGGCGCAGTTTAATCAGAGCAGCTAAGTGTGGTTTTTCAATAAGAACGCCCCGGTCGTAAAGAGTCCGTAGCAATCTGACAGCTCGACCACCACCGAATTTTATATGCCGTTGACGATGACTTTGCATGGGAGTGATTTCCTTAGATTGTTTCGGGGAGGGGTAAAATGAATAGCGTACGATAGTCCCTAATAACTTATTATCGAATATCTGGCGTAGCGGATGGAGGGGCGTCTGGGTTGGTAAGTCCAAAGGAACATATACACCCAGGAGATTTTCAACACCGGATAGCGGCTTTTTCATGGGTTCCGGTATATCCTCCGGGTGTACAGGAACAAAACCCGGGCGAGAAGACTGGAAGGAAGTAAACATATCTGCTAATTCGATACTGAGTTTTTCTAGGTCGTCTACTCTGCTTTGTCGAGTAAGACAGAACAGTATCTTCCGCCAACAGCAAATGGGTACTGGAATTTCCATGGCCGCAAGCTGTCGGCAAATAGGCAGGTAAAAGTAGAGTGAATCTTCAGGTAGAAATGTTGACTTGGCTTCGCTGATTAGATTGTCAAAAATGAGGCTTGTCTGGTTGGAATCGAGTGTAATTTCCATTGCCTTCATATCGTCTAAGAGCTTCGAGAGTCCTGCTCGGTCTTTGTGTAGAATATAAGTATGAGCAAGTGCGTTGGCTGTTTGGCGAGTCGACTTATCCATTACTGCTAGCCGTGTAGCTAACATAAGCCGATGAGTCCTCCAATCTTCTGAGTTGGCCGTAGAGACAACGAGATGCGACTGTAACTCGGCATCATCGAAGACGTCCGGATGAAGGTCGCTATGTAGAAGATCAAGAAGAAGCTCATCGTCATTGACCTTGGCGAGATAAAGGACCAATCTGAAATAGTTAGAATCGATAACTGAAATTCCGTGCTCGCGTAGTTGCTCGATGCGCTTTAATACGCCCTTTGATGTTCCTTCTCTCAGCGCGATTGATTGCAACGACAACGGTCCAATCTCACTAATGCCCAAGGCGGATATTGTAGATATGGCAGTGTTCAAACTGACCCAGGAGCTAGCCAGCCACTTGGCTCCTAGTCGATCGTTATAATTCTTGACGCTGATACCGAACGTCCCGCCGTGCACACGGTTCATGAATTCGCGAGATATTTCAATTTTCTCCGCATCTTCCTTCGACTGAAAATTTAAGTTGTCGACCACGATGGATTCCTCGGGATGAAGTGGTGCCTGAGGGAAGTATCCCTGCAGAAATCTCAGGAAAGGCCGAGCAGAAACATGTGCTAGAGGTAAATCGTCATGTCGAATGCAGGTACGTCGCCATTGTGCCGCTAGCCGGGACGCGCCCAAGTCGTACAGATATGGGACGAGGATATCATACAGCTGATGATCGGGGTTCATTATGTATAGAGACTCGAGAATAGGAGTACGGTACAGCTCTTGGTCATTTGCAAACTGCTTGATTATGCTCGCAAACTCGTTTGCGCCCGGGTAAAAGTTTGGAGTCAATCGTAGCTGCCACTGCAGAGCTTGATGGTGTTGATGAGTGCGCAAGAAATGCGACAGGACTGTCGAGTAGAGCTGCGGCCATTTTACACCATGCATCTCATACATCCACTCGCTGTAAATCCAGACGCTCGTTAGGAATTTGTTCTCCCTAGACTTCACTGCGGCCTCTAACATTGTTTGCCAAAACGCAGGCGCAAGCGGACTCTGGACATCGTACAGCGACTTGCGGCCCCAGAGACCTTTCCAAACGCCCCAAACGCCTAGGTCCCCATTGACCCTCTTCTGGTAATCCAGGAGAGCACTCCATAAGGCAAGATCGTTGCGGTTTTCGAATTTGTCTACCAACAGCTTGCTACGCCATTCTTTGGCGGGACCGCGCCGGTCAAAGTCAGACTCGACAGAGAGACGATAAGGGTCGGTCAACAGAGCCCTCCATTTCCCAAATAGCCTCGTCTCTTGAATTGGAGGAATGTTCGGCTTCTGTTGCTGCGTAGGCGTCTTCTGCGTCACTTGGACCTTACCGGATAGTTCCGACAAGAGAACACCGAAAGGGATTTCCGAGCTGTTCGAGGATGATGCTGAGAAATAGTACCGTGAATTCTTTCCAGATTCCGGGGAGGACAACCGAATACCCTGTCCATGCAGCTGAGGGCGCTGGAGCGAAGGTGGGAATCGAGGATGGAGGACAAAACGCTTTGGCTTCACATCTCGAAGGGCTTTGCTCACCAATCGCATTACTGCCACACTGTTACATACTGCTAGGCAACTTAGCCAACGGGAGTAGCCTCAAAAAGAAGGGGAAACGGTGAAGTAAGGGTCCCGAAGGTAGAGAGTGAATAGCTGCATAAGGAAAATAGAATTTTGAAAGATGCAGCTTAGATCGGGATTGATACCTTAGGTAAGGTATTTCGGTACTTTTCGACATAAGCCAATAAGAGTGGGGTTTAGTTACAAAGCTTAGCCGAGGTTTTAACGCTTAGTCATATTAGAGCACTACCTAATCCGAGATCCAATCATTCGATGCTTGAATCGCTTCAATCGCTTCAATTCAAGCTTTCGACAACAGCTCTTCATACACTCTCGGATCCGTAACCCTTAACCCTGCTTCCGAACGACCCTCGAACATCTACAAAATGTCGTACGTACGCACCTTACATCCCAATATCCTTGCGATGGTTCATACGAACTTCAATGGCCTCATTCCGTCCATGCGCGGATTCGAATATCTTTACGATGGAGCAAGTTAGCTTCGTTGACGTATACTAACCAGCCGTGCAGTCTAATCAACGCTCCCAACAAGGTGCCCCAACACCAGCGATTTTACCAGCAAGCTTACAGACAGCACATCCGAATCTGGAGGATCGTATGTGTCTAATTTGTTCATGTGCATTCCGCCCGAGGCCATTTTCGACTGACCGAATATAACGCAGAACCCGCGAAGCCCCTACCTACTTGTCCCTTACCAGGTCCTGATCTGGGGCAGTTTCGGAGGTTCGTTCATCATATTATAGATATCAGTACGGCAAATTCTAACAACGACTACAGCCACTATGTACATGATGGGACGCAAGATTCTGGGCTACAACACATGGTTCGACAAGAACTAGATTAGGAAAAGAGAAGACGAATAGCATTGTAGACGAGAGAGGCGGGGACGACCACATATGTCCTATCAGGCTAAAGAATAGACGGCTGTTCATACAATCCCTACGAGTTTCCTTCTAGTTTCGATGACTTCATAAATCAACCCTGTTATATCCAAGAAGTCGCGAAGTTGATGTAGAAATTGATGTAAATCAGTCCATTACGCCCAAGGCACAAGAAACCTCTACAATGCCTGCTATTTACTCGTACATGAATGCTTTCTAAGTACAGCCTATTTTGGTAGTAATCCACCCTCGAATTGCTGTTAATAAGCCAACTAGCTGGTAACTTTTATTAGCTGGTCACCCCTGTATATACCAGTATTAAGGGCATGCCTAGTATCCTTCGGCTCCGGGGGCCTTCTCGTCCTTGCGCAGGCTCATCAGCAGTTCACGGAAGCGCTCCTTGCCCGAACCGCTGGCACCGCCCTTCTGGCCTTTGCCGCTCACATCCACCAGCTTAGCAATGCGCTCCCAGCTCGTACCGCCGGAAGTGGTATCGTCTCGGCTGGCTAGGAATTCCTCTGCCTCCTTTCGGGTCTGCGCGATCATCTTCTCTTTCTTGCTGTTGTAGTTCTCGTAGAAATCATCAATGTTCTGTTGAGCCTCCTTGATAGTCTCGGCCTTCTGGGCGGCAAACTGCTCGGCTCGTCGGGCGTTGCCGGCATCCCTCTTTTCGCGCCACTCCTTGATCACTTCGGGTTCCTCCTCTTCTCCGACATAAGCGTTAAAGCCAGAGTTGTAACTGACGGACGGGCCAGTGATAGTACCACCAGGTGCGACTTGCTGTTCATTGGTCATTATTAGGACAAAATCTTGCTACGGCTAGCTCAGATGTTACAAACCTCGTTGGAAGTGTTGATATCGGGGAATTGGTTCTCGAATTGGGTGCTTTCGGCGCCGCCTCCAAGAAGATCGTCGGATGAGGGATCCGCAAGGGCCGCAGACTCGTTGCCCGTGGTAAACTGCGTGGCGTCATCGCCAAGGAGAGCGCGTTCTCGAGCGAGGAAATCGTCGGCTGAAGGCGAACCGACATCTTGGATCTCGGTCTGGGCTAGCGAAGAGAAATTGGGAGTGAGCGCCCATTGCTAGATTAAAAACAAAAAGTAGGGGGTAGCTCTACTTACCACCAGAATCAAAGTCGTCTAGCGACGGGAATCTGTCCGCCATATTGACAACAGCAATGCGAATAGGTTTTTAAGTAGGGTTTGTAGGTGATTTCTGTCTACCACCAATGTACGTCGAGGTTGTTATGTAGAGATTCTTGGGAGAATTAACGATATGCAAGAACAAGTCTTAACACTCTTGCAAGGCTTAAAGCTGTAGCCTCAGGTACGAACGTTTTGTATGAAGTACAGATTACAGTTGCATGCATGGATCAGGACACAGTGTGTTCAAGGCGTTAGTTGCGTTAATTATCGTGATTCGTACTGTCTAGGTCTTATCGCTCCAGGTACTACCTACCTAGGTACGTACCGAATTACCTGACGTTGATGCCTTAGAAAAAAGGATAGCGACTTCCTATTGATATAGGTACATTAGGTAATTGGTAAAAATAGCCCGTGTACAACGCTAATCACGTGCTCCAATCATCTGAGATCGACGGTATTATGTACGTTCCCGCTCATAGCTCCACTAACTTCCATTTTATGCATCCTACCTCTAACAACTACTTAAGCTAGATATCACAAAACAAAACAAACAAGCAGAATCAAGCAGCTGTCTGAATTGGTTCTTACCAACCTTACTGCCTTCTGCTTTGTGCTGGACTCGAGTTACTTTCCCTTATCTCATGATATTTCGCAAGTAGGCTAGTCTACCTCTAAGCAATATCTGCGCGTCTTCAGCCCGCGTCAAGATGGAATCCTGGTAGCCAACTGTAGATTGATTCATCAAGTAAACTACATTCCAATTCACAGAAGAGCCCATTCAATCCAGCACAAACCCCTACTCAAACCCTCGATTCAACAAGTCAACATGGCTTACACCGACGATGCTGTGTTGGCCAAGCTCTCTGCCCTCTCCGAGGCGGCAGACAGCATTGTGTCTGTATCCCAGTGGATCATGTTTCATAGGTAGGCAAACTCGAGCACATGTCCATTAAGCAATCCGTGCTGCCTAGTAGATAATCACTGACTTGTTTGTCGGATATCAGACGCCATGCAGATCGAACAGTGCAACTATGGCTCCAACGCCTTAGAGATTCTACAAGTCACAAGCGATTGAATCTCATCTATCTTGCCAATGGTAAGTGTTATCAACTCATAGAATTCCCCCCAAGCCGTTGTGCTTATACCAATTGCCCCTATTTCGTCAAAACCTAACGATTTTGTAGAGGTTGCACAACAGACGAAAGCTCGTCATAGAGATGATTTCGTTGTCGCATTCTCTCCTATTATTGCGGAAGCTGTCGCTACCGCTTACAAGGGCGCATCGGCCGATATACAGCAAAGAATCAAACGGGTCGTTGACGTCTGGAGAGAACGCGCCGTCTTCGAGACGCCAATATTAGAGGCGATAGAAGCTCGCGTCCAAGGTAATCCTCCGTTTCCTAACGACATACAAATATCATACTAATTATACAAAGAAATCAATGAGGCCCGCGGTACTGCTAAGGTCGGGCTAGGTGGCTCGATATTCGGATCCGCCTCCGTTCCAACAGAACTGGCCCCCCTAACAACTCCCCAGCAAAACGTGACGAAGCTGCTTCTAGGTACAAAGTCCATCGTTAACACAGCCAATCAAGAATATGACAAATTATTGGGCCCTGGAAGCACTGCACCTTCTGCCCCTGTGTATGCTGCCCGTCTAAGCGGATTGCTCAAGACACTAGCCCAGGCGGAAGGAGCAGTAGACCAATGTGTGAAGGCTCGCCGGGAGCTTGTTGCAGCTCTGCAGAAGGTCCTAGACAGCAACAGAAATGCACTAATATCCGAGGAAGATCAGCTAGAGACTTTCGTAAGACGAAGAATGGAAGTGGAGGATAAGAAGACCGAGGTCGAGAGAGCGATCATGGCAGGACTTCCAGATGACGAGCCTTACTTCAGCCATGGCCAAAATGACCATCCAGACCCAGAACCTGATAGACCAGAGGTTGAGGAACTTACACCACCACCTATGGAACCGGACTTTCCGGGAAACACCGACATGACGGACAATACAGGTAGTACCCAAGAAACCACCGACCAACCGCCCACCGTGGAGGATACCGACACTCACGCTAATCTCAGCGTCCAGTATAAGTCGGTGCCAACTACGATGAACGGGTCTAAGAAACGCAAGCTCGATGATGGCAATGATTTCCCCGACTTAGGAGAAGATGATGGCATCGACTCGGACGTGGCCGAGATGCTTCGTAGAGACAGCAGCGGTTCGTAATCTTGGCAGACATGGCTCGAGCTAACTTTGCACATGTCCCCCAAATGATGTCTTGAAGATATTGAGCAGAGAGAGGAGACGAATCGATGTATATTAATGCCAATTTTGCATTTCAGGGTGGCTCTTTTTGATTTCTAATGCCAAAATCATACGAGCTTACTATTATTCTCGTTCACCAAGGATACACCGTCCTTTTTCTACTTATGGTATAGGCGTATGGCTACAACCCATGTAGAATACATACATAATTATATTCCTTATTTAACTACTCATAATGCATACACTGTACAGTGTCAGCGCCGATTTAGCCCTCGGAGATCCTAGGTTTAATCCGACTATATCGCCTTTCTACGAGCGTATACACTCCCGGTAATGCATGTAGTACTTCACGAAGCTAGCTTACTTGCCCTTTCTTAATATGTACCTAGATATAGGAAAGTAGAATTCAGAGTAACCCAGTTTGTTGATCAAACTCCCTCATTTACAAGCATCGCAAATCACTGGCTTAGGTACATACCTTTTATGTACTTAGGTACCTATGTATCTAAGTACTTCGTATCTAACTCTGCACTAGACTCTGCAAGGAACGCGACAGACCGGAGTTGTGCCGATTAACTCTATGTGCAAATACTTAGATGATGCATAAGCAATTCGAAGCTTCAGCGGTTTTAGTGAATTACTCCGTACGGATGACGGCATTCTTCCCAACTTTTTTTTTCGTTTCTTTCTTTTTTTACGACCGAAGTTGCCAACGAAACTTGCGCAGTGAAAATAAAAGACAGTGAAGCTCGAGTCAGCTTCGCTTCGATGGTGCGAACCCTGCGCAAGGGAACACACCTACATCGATCCATGACGACCCGGCGAGAATAAAGCGCATAAGATGCCTTCGGGAGCATTGGGCCGCGCTGTAGTGGGAAGCTTCCCGCAACGTGGTGTCGGTATCGCAAAGAGCTTCTCACACCAATCTGCCCTCTTACCACACCATGTGCTCTGCGCGCTTCCTAGACGACCAATTGCTCCGGAACTTCCTTCACAGCCGCTCTTCCAGATCTCTCCTACCGTTTTCAAGACGAACTATCACTCATCTCGCCTCATCCGATCGCAAACGCCGCTAGCTCTTTCTCCGAGGCTCGGCGTTACTTCTACGTCACGAATACAGGTATCGAGCTCGCCATGGAAATCGCCAACTGGTGTGCTGAAACAGCTATCTACAACCCAACCGTCCCAACCGTCTAGCCGAGAAAATCCTAATGTGACTATCCCGAGTAACGAAAAGAGGGACATTAGTATCGTTGCTTCAACGGCGGCTAAGACTGTGGAAGACGTTGCGCAATCCTACGAGGGCTTCGGCAAAAGTGAAAAAGCTTCGAAGGCGGCTCAGGTCAACTTACGCGCTCGTCTTTCCCATGATGGGAAAGATGGCAAGAAAAGCTCGGCCTCGTTCAACGAGATCTGGCGTCTCATCAAGATCGCGAAGCCAGAGGCGAGGAATCTTATTATTGCCGTGGTATTGCTGCTTATCTCTTCGTCTCTCTTCGTCTCGCTCCCCCTGGTTGTCGGCAAAGTCATGAATGTTGCTACCGCGAAAGCTGCAGCAGAGACAGAAATGTTCGGCCTGTCACTCTACCAGTTCTTCGGCGCTTTCGGCTTGGCTCTTACCCTCGGCGCATGCGCTAATTTTGGACGTATCGTCCTATTACGAATCGTCGGCGAGCGAGTCGTCACACGCCTACGATCGCAGCTCTTCAGGAAGACGTATAGCCAGGATGCCGAGTTTTTCGATGCGAACAGGGTCGGTGACCTGATTTCTCGGCTCGGCACAGACACTATTATAGTGGGCAAGAGTATTACGCAAAACGTATCAGACGGATTAAGATCGATGGTGAACAGCGTTGCGGGACTAGCATTGATGGCCTGGATCAGCCCCAGTCTCACTGCCATTATCTTGCTCGCCGCCCCTTTCATCGGTAGCGCCTCTTTCGTGTACTCTCGCGTCATCCGGAGGATAAGCCGTAAGATGCAGCAGAACCTAGGAACTCTTACCAAGATCGCGGAAGAACGCTTAGGAAATGTCAGGACCAGTCAGGCTTTTGTAGGTGAGGCCCAGGAGGTCCGTCGGTACAACAACCAGGTCAGGAAGGTCTTTGAGCTCGGGAAGAAGCAGTCTATATACGATGCGTCGTACTTTTCTGGGACATCCTGGATGGGTAACATGACGATAATTGCTTTGCTCTGGTTCGGCGGAAATCTCGTGAGAGATGGTATAATGACAACTGGAGATCTCACTACTTTTGTTATGTACACGTTCTGGGCCGGCGGCGGGTTATTCGGCGTGGCCAACTTCTACTCAGAACTAATGAAAGGAGTCGGTGCTGCTACGCGTATCTTCGAACTTCAAGATCGGGAATCGGGCATCTCCTCAACTAAGGGGTTCAAAGTCACATCAGCACAAGGACCCATCAAATTCGAAAATGTCTCTTTCGCCTACCCTACACGTCCTGCTGTGATGATCTTCAACAACCTGAACTTTGAGATCCCATCGGGGACTAATGTGTGCATAGTCGGCCCTTCAGGCGGAGGAAAATCGACCGTGTCGTCTTTATTACTGAGGTTCTACAATCCTACCTCTGGCGTCATCACGATCAATGGCATGGACATTACCAAGATGAACGCGAAGTCGCTACGACGCCGCATCGGCATGGTATCCCAGGAACCAGTACTGTTTTCGGGCACGGTGGCCGAAAATATCGCCTATGGAAAACCAAATGCTACGAGGTCAGAGATAGTAACAGCTGCGCAAAAGGCTAATTGTGGGTTTATTGCCGATTTCCCGCAGGGTCTCGAGACGCAAGTTGGTCCCAGGGGCGCACAGCTCTCGGGCGGGCAGAAACAGCGTATCGCTATCGCACGAGCACTCATTAAGGATCCTGACATTCTCATCTTAGACGAGGCTACTTCAGCTCTAGATGCGGAATCCGAAACAGCAGTCAACCTAGCTCTAGCGGCACTACTCAAAGGCCGCCGGAGGACAACTATTTCGATCGCACATCGACTCTCTACGATCAAGCGCTCGGAGAAGATTATCGTGCTATCTAACCAGGGCACCGTCGCCGAAGTGGGATCCTACGAGGAACTCAGCGCAAACCCGCACAGTGAATTCACCCGGCTGATGGAGTGGCAGATGAGCGGAGGTGAGATCCCACCCAAGGCGCAAGACCCCGCACTCTCGGAATCCGAGATAATCGAGGAAGAGCTCGAGGAGGATAATGACGAGGAGGTTAGCGAGGAGGACGAGGAAGAAGCAAAACAGAAATCGGAGAAGTAATAGTCACGCATCTCATAAACCATAGCACATATTTTTGCATGAAAAACGGAACGGCGGTGGAGGTCTATTGCCATTTTTCTGGTTTCTTGCGTATTCAAAGGGGCTCTTACAATAGAAAGTTCGGCTCTTAGAGAGAGAAGGGGTCACCAGGTATGAGAAGACATACACAGGCACCGGGGGGGAGGGTGTTTAGGTGATAATGAATGGACAACTTATATGTATATGTACGTGTAGAGTAATGCGTCCGGAACTCCACTCGATTTAGGTAAATATACCACGGCGAGGCATAAACCGGACTCGGGATAGAGTCCGCGGATCCCTTGGATAGAAAGAGAGTTGATGACTCAAGGGGTTGGGCTTGTAGAGTAATACATCTACGGCATAATGAATAAAGGGGTGAAATGTACTTACTACTATAGCGATGCTATGATTGTACATATGCATGTGGATGTGGCGTTGCTGTTATTACTATTGGCCCAGTCTTTTCGAGGACTTTACTATGTGTATAGGTAGTTATATAATTTATCACAGCGAGTCAAGTCATAATTATTTTCATTTTCTCTAGCTTGAAGGATTCTGCGTGGAATACCTAATTGCTAATGATATTGCCGGACAGCAACAACATCAGTGCGCAGTCCCTAATTACAGCGAGTCAAAGCATAATATATGCATTGATATTCCTCTTACCTTTGTCGACGCTATAGGTGTCTCTTGTATATTAGTAGAAGCCAATATATGATACGGGCTTCAACGTGGTGGAATATGGCCCGAGGGATGTGCAGATCGGATTTGGAACTTGCACAATTTTTATATACCGTGGAAAGCTCCCCCAATTTAAGAAACTATGTAGCTAAATTTATGATATGATGGTTAGACGATAACGTACGTCTTTTGGTATTTACCACTGTAGGATCTTTATTTGTACTCCCAATTTGAGGTCTATTAAGAAAGTTCTACCACCTCCTTCGTCGTTATCACCTAGGTACTAACCAGTACCGCAACCATTACCATCTCATAGGACAAGCAAATTTAGGATATCGACTTGAAAGTACCTTTTATAATACAATTAAAATCTATGTTGGTATTATTATAGTGATATCGGTTTGATCACTATAATTCGAGAAACTATCTTAGCGGTGCGCAACTCAGGGGCAACACATAGCTACTATAGGGGTAGCTCGAATTAGGTTTAATTACGTGGCCGTGAGACTACCAAAGCCTATAAACCGCTACGGTTCGAGTAGATATTCCATCCCTTTCTTACTAATTCCTAAAGATACAAGCTTCGAGCGGTAATGGCATCGCTATACGCAACCGAGTGCAACCTACCTACGCTCGGCCAAACTCAATTGACTTATATCAGGTTGACGGAAAACGTATTTTTATTTACACAACATCACCGTCAGATTAAACAAGTAGCCTTAACGCTTCAACCCCTGAACAAATACAGGTACAGGTTAAATACCAATCATCGAATGTCACGAACAACGTTTATGGAGACTCACCTGATTGCCTCGATATAATAGATTATACTAGGGCCTAGACAGTACAAAGATTTTCTAGAATCACGTATATAGTATGAAAATATCCAACCATTATTCCCTATAGGTAAATAAATAGTGAATCATTACCGGCTAGTAAAGCAAAGTTGATATCCACACACGTCATGGCTTCTCAAGGAAACGTGTAATTGCTGATAGTCATAACACCCAGGTGTACAGCCTGCCTACTATCCACATGTAGATCTGTTAAGGCTAAGCTGTGCTTACTATAGGAAGAGCATTTTAGTCCATGCGTATAACCATTAAGCACCACGTTTAGGAAACGTTATTAGAACATATAAAGTTTGTTAGCAGGCATAAAGGGCGCGTATTAGCCCTACCAATGAGTAAATATAAACAAGAAAACAACTGAATAGAAATATACTTAAGCAACGAGCCCGTGAAATCTTTGCCCGAGAGAATATTACAATTTTATTTCGAGGGCCCCGTTTCCATATGCCCAAACTTTGCTAGCCATGACTTTGAATTTGTTAGCAAGCCCCTCTCTATGGGCATTACGGCTGTCCGAGTCACGGAAACGATCCAGTCATCCGAAAATTTTGTAACTAGATACCTAGGTAGACGAATATCATAGCCCCAATACCTATACTAACAGTGAATTAGACTTTGATGAGAAAGTCATACCGTTCTAAGCCTCTCTCTGATCCCAAAGCAGCCCTATAAGTAGTCCAAGTCCCCCAGTCCTTGGCCAATCCTCCGCCCTATTTCATCATCACAACGTCCTAGAACAACTACGAACTAACAAGCTCGAGACCCTACTATTTCAAGACTACTATTTCAAGACTCTACTACTTCAAAGTTGACAATACTCAATTATCTCACTAGGGCCATTACTATTCGATTATCTCGTCGAAGCTACTAACGATCAATATCTCATCAAAACCTACCTACAACTCAAGATGTCGAAGGAATCTGCAACAAGATTTTTTAACCGCTACCACCACTATCCACCCCAAAGAGAAGGACGGATGGTCACTCCGGTTTTCGATTTTGATTACACGTCCGTGCCAAAGTACGAAGATGAGTAAGTATCTGACCCCGAAAGAGACAAGGGAAACTATTCTTCTAACGATCTGCCTAGAACTGCGGACATCAAAATTTTGCTGCCCGAAATTAAGGAGGCATGGCTAGTCCATAGCGACGTAATTACCGACAAAAGCAACTTCTTTCGAATGGCACTAGCCACTCCGTTATTAGTGAGCATCACTTTTCTTCGTTCTATTGATGGCATGCTGACTGGAAGTAGGAAAGCAGGACCAAAGAAATCAAGCTCTACGGAATTGACGGCGCGATAATGGAATTCATTGTAAAATACATGTATAGTGACTGTAAGTATCTCACCATCTGTCATCTCACTATCGCTCTAACTATATTCCACCACAGGGTCCTCCGCAGCTACATTAGCCTTTGGCCTAGAAGGCGGTGCCGCGGTGCCGCCGAGATACATCGCGGAGATCCTCATCGTCGCCGATTTCCTCGACATACCCCAGCTTTGCTACGCGGCATACCACATGCTGCTATCCGGGATGGCCGGCCTCGTGATGCGGTCCAAGACGCACGCTATATGCTCGCACATCTTGTACTGCGCGAGTGACACTTTCCTCCGCGCGGCGTCTGTGCTGGAGGAAAGCAAAACGAAGGTCGGCCTCGATTTGGGAGGAGCAATATATAGACTAATGGAGAGGCTGGGAAAGGCGTGGAACTTGGATCAGGCGGCCGAGGCTTTCGTGGATACTTTTCCGGAAGACCGCTTCATCATCGACTTGGAGCTTCAGTGGTAGAACCACGGGGTTGCTATAGTGGAGGAGGTGTGGAGGGTATATACGGGAGGCGGACATGCATATATGCATAGCGACAATGATATATGGACGACAGCAGCGAGAATAAACTGCTTGTATGAATTGGTTAATTCAATGAAATATGAAATATTTGGTGGTGGTGGTATCTAATAAGTCTAAGTGAATATGCGCCGTGACTGTCATCTAATCATGATGTTTTCTTAAAACCAAGCTCATAACGTCATCCCAATCACTCCTTAGCGACCCTCATGCTCATTAATTGCTCTCTCATATCCTATCTCCCTAGTGCCTTCGCCGGAATATCCCCAACAAGCCACGGTTGCTATCCGTGCTCGTTCGAGGTACCTTTTCCCTATATGCTGTCGGCCCAAATTGCCTGCGTGGCATGCAGCACGAGACGGTCCAGAATGCTAATGTCACGAACATGACTGCGAACGCCACCCAGGAGATGGTCATAAACCTCGTGCCCTCGACGGCGGAGATGCCGTACTCGCCGCCCCGGTCGTTGATCTCAGACGCTCCTTTCTTCGAGATGGCCGTCGCGATCGCGGCGCCAATCGCAAGCGACAAGGCGGCTAGTGCGGTAAGCACCATGTTGACGAGGATAGCTCCTCTCCCGATGACTTCGCGTCTTAGCGTCAGGATGATGATGCACGATATGAAAGATAGGCCGGAGAAGCCGGCTCCAAGGACGTAGAGGATGAATGTTGCTAACAGGAACTTGTTGATATAGTCGATGGTCTGCTGGATCGAGTCTGGGATCGGGATGTCGGCTGCGTTGATGTTCAGGGGTCCAGCACTGATCTCCTTCTGGAGGATGTCGGTGAGATTGAATTGGACTAGAGGCGAGCGTTAGCTATGTCGGCCTTATTTAGTTGGTGAAAGATGACGACACTCCTTACCTCCTGCGGACTGTGCTGTGCAGTTCGTCGTATTGTACCAAGCACCCGGTGAAGTGGCATTGGGCGCAAAGTTGCCCTCGCAAGCAGTCATGACATGTATGCTATACCACTGAGAAATACCCAGTTCGCGGGAAAGTTGGTCGGCGATATCATTTGCGATATCGTTTAACTCGTCTGTGATTTGGCCTTCGATGTCGTCGAGTCCATCTTGGATGTCATCCCAACCAAACCCATCGTCGTTGGTGGCCGTGGGTTGGGAACCGGAAGAACTTGGAGTTGGTACGAGATCATGACCAAAAGTGGACATGTTAATCTAGAAACGTGGTTAGCTTGAGGTTTTTATTTTATTTATTTTTTATAAATATGGCTTATAGATTAGGATTAGAAACATACGGCAATGATGTGATAGTTTTCCATCGATCGTTGCTGCGATCCGGAGCCAGCAAAGAGCGCTATCATTGCTAGCACGAATCCCACCAGCGACAGGAGGGTTGGAATAACCACCATCAGTGGCCTAGTATAGCCGCGTTTCACAGCCATATTTCCGTAGTTTATTGAAGTTGAGGGTAATTCTGATCAATTGGTCCTCTAACAATCAGATATGGGGTTTTATGTTAGTTGATTTAACTTAAATAAAAGGGGGAAGTCTCAACTGGCGAGATTTCGTAAGAATTTAAATAATGGGAAGAACTAAAAGCGCAGAACAAAGCCAGTAAAGTAAACAGTTACATTGTCGAATATAATGGGCAATTCATCAATGTCGTATGTGGTACTTAATATGGCTGTCGGATAGCAGCCTTGTAATATATAACATGCATCATCTACCAAAAAAAAAAAAAATAATAATAACTCCGAAAGGTCACCATTCATTCGTCCGAATTCCACTTGTAAATTTGAATGGTGAATGGTCCGGGGATACCAACGCACACATCTTGGTCTACTCTGGCAATTGACATCTGCTCGGCATACGTATACGTATAATTGTACCTTATCTGGTCTACTTCGAGACGAGGGAAAACTCATCATGTACTCACTCTATCGTAAGTACCAGCGACCAAAAACATGCCATCCATGTACAGTATTCATAGGCTGTGCATCTGAGTGGGCAGCAAGTTGCGTCACGGAGTAGTTTTGCCTCCTTTAGTCCATGTCGGTCTCTATGATTGGCTGTTTACTAGCGTTGCGTCATAAGGGACCATTACAGAATTGACCCCCTGTAAAACCGGTTCGACACCTTGTAGCCAGTTAACCCCGGCAGCAGCCCAGTTGGTGATTCGTTTGTCATTAGGAACTAAGTAGTCCCAGCCACCATACAGCGTCTTCTGAGAATAATCCGTAGCCATACGGTAATCTTTCTTGGCGGCCTCCCGAAACGGCGTCACAAGTAGGGGACGTTTAGCAGAAATCTCGAAATAGCTGGAGTTACACGGTGACTATGGTGAGTGGGCTATAGAAAGGTTAGGTTATAAAGTCATTCAATTGTGAGAAAGCTATTGTAGGGTGTCTTTATTCTAATTGTTGAGAGGTGCCGAATAGCTTGCCTTTGTATTTATAAGATAGGTAGTTGGCAACGCGTAGTCATAATTCATTATAAATCTTTTACATAGATTCTTTGAGCAGGGGTAGTAATTGTATCCTAAAGTTAAGTTATCGGTCCTCTCGAATATGTGAGATGCCTTTCATCTATAGCTACATCATAATAGTACCCCACGTCGCTGACTCTCTGCAACCGCCTTCTCACCGTCCGTAAGGGCATCTTTCTCCACGGTGATCCAACGTCCCCTCCCTGACCGCTGTGCTCTGATATGCTTTTCTACTGCTGTCGCAGTCTCGATCCAATCCGCAAACCGGAGGATTTGACCGTTTGATGAATAGTCCGAAAGGGCATACCCGGAACAGAGTCTCAGGGTTGTGATTTTCCCCCAATCACCCACCCAGTCAACAAAATCGACTGTGAAGTCTCCATCTGACTCTTCTCTCAATGCTGGGAACCAATCCCCGCAGCCGGTCAAATCGAGATACTCTAGACTATACAGAGTCTTGCTTAGACGCTTCAATACCAGTATCGCTTCCGACCAGTCGCCGTCTAAATTATGACTATATGGCCCGGTGCCGCCATATTGGACGGTTCTTCCAGTTAACGGTGACGCCATCTTCGCAAATTTTGCATTTGGCGTCAAAGATGGTTCCGGCCAGCCAGACAGATCGAGGTGCGTAAGTGTTTGTAACTTGCTAGCTAATGAAAGTAGCTGCTTCCACGAGGCGGCGGGCGCATTTCCGGGCTCGACTGCGAGGGATAGCTGTGTTAAGTTTGGTAAGAGCTTAACCGGCCCAGAACTGGGTTCTGGAGCTTCCCATGATTCCTGAAGATCAAGCTCGACTGCAACTGGAGGATAGAACAACTCGCCTAACTCTTTCAATGACATCGACTTCCCAACCGAACCGCTTAGGTCCAAACAAAACATGTCCCCGTTTAGTTTATCCAAATCAGGCTTTTCTACCTCGTATTGTGCGAGCTTCTCATCTGCGGGACCAGCAAGGATCAGTCGCAGGTCGTTGATAGACAGTCCTGGTTCATGAAGCTCCGAGATACAACTGATCAAGGCTGTCCGTAATTGACTAGGTAGCGTATATAGATAAAACTGATTCCAATGCCGTTGCTGCTCCCAATCCAGAGCCATCCGTCGTATTAGCCGATCCACGAAACTGCCATCGGCGGGAGTGTAGATGCCCGGTAAGGGCCAGTGCTGAATATGCCCTCCAAGGTCTCTTCCTAGGTCTGCGGGGGCATGTCGCGACTGCGCTAACGATACCCAGCTACGCGGTGGCGGTGGACCTGGGGGTGCTCGTCGACCATGCGCGTGGAGGCGTTGAGGTCGTCGGGGTGCTGGGGCGGGTGTCTCGGGAATCTGGAAGATTTGGCGGATCGAAGGCGGAACGGTGGGAGTCGCTACGGAGAAGTTACTCGAGGTGCCATTTTGTTTTATGCTAGCCCGTCGCAAATCTGCGAGAATTTGGTTGACGGAACGTTCATGCTGATCTGCGCGATGGTTGTTAGGCACGATGCGCAGGCTCGGAGTTTGCGGGAGTTAAGAGATTAACTTACCAGAGTTGGTCCTCGACGAGGAGGACAGAGCAAGTGATGGCGGAGCTACTGAAGGCGGTTTTGAGTATTTGTTATTATGTCTTTTCTTAGGCATAACAGTTGAGGATGGGATAGACCTATCTCGACTGTTTGCGAAAAGAAGAAGTCGCAAAAATTGAGAAGAGTGTCAGCAAATGAAGTAAAATCGACCTAATGGCGCAAGTACGGTTGACCAGACAGGCCACTGTGCCAAAATGAAAAAAATCTGTGAGCTTAGCTTAAAAGGGTAATCAGCCACAGGTTAGCGCAATTAGATCGATTTATTACGGTACTTCGCACTTTCGTATGGGAAAAAAGGATTATCCTTTTTAAATACATACGTAACGTTATATATAATAACTATGCTTTAAAAAGGTATGTTTACTTTTAATCTTTTATTAAATACTAGTTATATCTACACATTTAAATAACTTTACAATCCCAGCAGTTACAACATTATAATTGGTATCATTTTATAGCCTCAATTAAAGCGAAAATAATTATCCAGGTTGCATGCTTATACGACGTATTATTGTTAAGATATTTAAAGTCTTTTGAAAACAGTTGTCTTAAAAGGTATTAATTAAATAGCCTTATACAATACAGCCTTTTGATTGGCCAGCCAGCCAGCCAGCCTCATATATATACATACATATATCAGAGATCATTCAAAAAGACCTCGTTTTCAGCCTTTTTGCCTCGAAATGACTGTATGCGACCGTATAGTCTTTAATCAATGTATGCAACCAAGTAAAAGCAATATATAAGGATAGATAGCCATTGCATCGTCATTTGAATTGAATTGAATTGAATTGAATTGAACATGAAGCTGTAATAGAGATGTGGTGTAAGGATAAGGATAAGGATATTGCCAGACGGGCGGTGTAAAATTTAGCCAATAGAAGGGCGCGCATCTTAAAAAGAGTAGGAGGTTGGGACTATTCCAAAAGTACAAGTGTATAGTAGTAAATTTGTATGGTAGGGGAGGTATTTGACGATATATGACAGCTTTAGAGGTACCTATCATTCCAGAGACCTGTACGTACACGTGATACCTTTTGAGACAACTGTTTTCAAAAGACTTTAGATATCTTAACAACAATACGTCGTATAAGCATGCAACCTAGATAATTATTTTCGCATTAATTGAGGCTATAAAATGATACCAATTTTAATGTTATAATTGCTAGAATTGTAAAGTTATTTAAATGTGTAGATGTGGTAGTTGAAAATTGAATTGACAATTAAATTGACAATTAAATCCTTTATTTTGATTGGCCAATCCTTTACATTATATTGGTTAAATCAATATTTCTATTACAATAAACCGTAATAAAGCTTGGAAGTACATATTTAATATTCTCTAAATTGTGGCAAGTGACCCCTTACCAACTTTAGTTTAGTGTGCGATTATTTTTTTCATTTTGGCACAGTGGCCTGTCTGGTCAACCGTAGCAAGAATTGGAGATGACTTGATTGACTCATCCGAGATTATGTAATGAGCCGCAGATTAAAACCCCTGTGCCTTCACTCTGCCCTTCCTTCCTTCATACCTGCCTCGTTTACTCAAGTCTTTGTCATAAATTGTTTACCTAAGGCAATGATTTCATATTAACTTTATTCAAGGTCATAAGACTCTTATTTTCATACCCAAGGAGAACAGAATGTGAAACTTGACGACGCTGCAGAAAACAAAAAATTCCAATCCGCATCACGACATCTGAACTTTGCGACTTCAACTAGAATATACATGGACTTTGCTATACATGCAATCTTACATTATTATTCTACATTATACATCCCTTATAATTATTTCCAGAGAGAACTCTATTAACTAGAGAAACCATCCAATCCCTATTCGTGTGAAATCATAACAGAAATTTGCTAATTCATCCTCTTACACCTCCGGAGGGGCAGTTGCGTCATCTTGCCCAGGGTTTGCCTCTTCGTAATGGCAGATCTTCACGAACCGGTAGTACCCGGCTGCGATTAAAGCACCCAGGAGAGGACCAACCCAGTAGATCCAGTGGTACCCTGGGAAACTTGGCGCAGCAACGGCACACCCGAGACTGCGTGCCGGGTTGAGTGAGCCACCGGTGTAGAAAACGCCTATTGTCTTGTATTAGTTGCGCTCCTTAGCCTGATCGCTAGACGGTTCTCGTCTACTTACCAGGGATTTCAGCGACGAAGAGTGCTGATCCGATGCCCAATGGCGCTAGGTACGTGTCCTTAGGCTTTTCGACTGCGACCATGAGGATCACGAAGACTAGGTACGAGGTGAAGAACATCTCAGCGAAAACTCCCTGGGCCAAGTTCATTCCGGGAGCCAAAGTCGTGTTCACTGATGCAATGTCACCTGGAAACATGACTTTTACCATAGCACCCGCACACATGCATGCGATTAGCTGTGTCGGGATCAAAAAGGCTGCTCTCACCCACGGTAGTTAGCCACCGAGATTACACGTTGAGAGGTTAGCTACAAAGCTCCTAAGCACGACGAAGGAAGGTTTTTATCTTCAAGCTCTACACGTACCGCAGGGTTGAACAATCCTCCGCTAATCCTGTAGAAGGCCCAAACGGTAACGAGAAGTGAGAAGCCATAGTCAAGCGAGATGTAAATCACCTTCGAAGCGCCTGATGTTGCTGCCCCTTGGTCGAGCACCATGAGGTGGCCCGCATATCCAAAGAAAAGGAAAAAGAAGGTCCTGACGAATTCGCCCGTCGCAGCGACAAGATGTTTTTCTAACGGGTTTAGATGTCTATCGCGTGGTTGGCGCGGCTGGCTTCGCCGCGGGTGTCCATTTCCATTTCCATTTCCATAGCCATTAGATGGCTGGCGGCGCTTTTCGTGGTGAGGAGACATCGCGGCTCTACGTGATAGTAGCTAAGTGTTCCCCTGCAGTTTTGATTCTGCTCGATGGACTTGGCTATCCATGGTTTCCTACACTCCTACGAACTTCTCCGGTCCAGACTTTATACAATTTGAAGCCTTCGAGTCGGCCTTGACAATTAGTTGACGATATAGTAGAACATGCATGATGTAACCGACTCGTCGGAATTGCTGCCGTCGAGTATCTAAATTCACCAAGTCGCGCTACTAACATATGGTAGCAAGAAGAACTCCTCTAAGATGTTCACTAGCACTTGTTAGTTGCCGACTAAGACTACCTACGCGTCCGAACTAAACGGGTATAAGCACAAGAGCTTCAGTTCCTCGTCCAGTAATTATCTTGAAAAGTTGAGGCTCGCACTTATTAATGCCGCCCGCTAACTAAAGTAGAGGCTACGCATCATCGTCAACTTGATCTACCTATGAGCACAACAGGTATCAGGCATGTTAAAAGATTGCTCTGCGAAGATCTGTAGCGATAGGTTAGCTAACCCTTCGTTTTCTCCTTCGTGTATAGCTCCCAGACTCCATCTTTGACTCCATCTATGATAGGATATCGAGACAATATTTCTTTACCTTAAAGTTACTACAAGAGGTGACCTAATGAGCTCGTTAGTCGTATCACACTTTAATCATTTGCCTGTATCATTATGATATTTTTAGAAAATAGAAAAATTCCTATAATTGGTCGAAATAAGAAACAAGATATCATACTACCTCTCCTAATGGGTAATATGTTAAGTTAGCAGTTATGGTACTCGTTCATTGAACTTTTACTTTTATCTAACCGTTTAGTTACCTAACCTAATATAGCACTCATACCCAAATTTCCTCATTATTGATACAATCCAATAGGTACTGGTGCGCCATTCCATGGTTTTAGATTTAACACATTAGGGACATTGTGAAGTAGCATTGGCGGATGGGTAGGCTCTTTACCGTCCTGCCACAACATTTAGGACTCCACCGTCCACCGCGATGATCTCTCCGTTCACATATTGGTTCTTTGCAAGGTAGAGTACCGTCATCCCCATTTCTTCCTCACGTCCAGCTCTCATTAGCGGAACGTGGCCTTTATCTTGGATCTTCTCTGGCGACACATAGCTCTTCTGTTTATCATCACTACTCTTAGCGGTCACTGTAGCAAACTTGTTAGCTTGACCATTATCGATATCGACCTGATAGAAGAAAGGGGTAAGGAAAAGAAGCTCTGAAATAACTCACTTTCGCTAGGGAAATATCCCGGCGCAATGGAGTTGACTCTGATTCCGGCCTTTTGGAACTCCGCGCTCATAAGTTTTGTCAAGTGCACCGTGGCCCCCTTGGCCGTATTGTAACTGAAATGGCCCTGAGCATGTCGCATGATACCCGACATAGAAGATATGGTAATTACAGAAGGGGCGTAAGGCTCAAGGGGACCTTTCGGACGGATGCCTTGCTGCAGCAGCGGAAGGAAGGCCACCGTCGTAAAATACACCGCCGTAACATTAGTATTGAAGTTATCGTGCCAATCGCTAGGATCCTCGTTATTCCAGAGCCTAGCCTTGAGATCTTCCGCCTCGGCGTCCTTCGGCTCAGCCTTCGGGCCCGAGATGCCGGCGCTGCACACCAGGAGGTTGATGTACTTCTCGCGCTTGCTCAGATCCGCAACTAGCTTCTCTAGGTCGTCTTTGCTGGTCACGTCGCACGGCCCGATCGGGATGATCTGTCCGCTGCTCTTGGCCGGCTGGTGGCTTTTGGCCGCGTTCTCGAGAACTTGTTTCCGCCGGCCGGTGATGTAGACTTTGGCGCCGTTCGCGGCGAGTGCCTGCGCGGCCATTAATCCTATGCCGGTCCCGCCGCCCGTGATTACCGCGACGGAGTCTTGGACTCCGAAGAGCTTGTTTACGTCGAATTGGTGGGTGTCGGCCATGGTGTACGGTGGGCCGCGGTGATGGTGTATAAGTGTTAATGCGTAGTTCTAGAAAGGTCTGGTGGAGTGATGAGGTGATGGTGTTTTAAAATATTTGCTTGAGGGGTAATATAGTCTTCCCGTCACGGTGAAGTCAAGACAATGCTGCTTTGAAAGTTTATGTTAGAGGTGTGCCTCTTATATCGCGATGAGTGGTGACGTAACTGTACCTGGAACCCACGTGTAGCAGGGACCTTATCGAAGCACAGGGGCGTATCTGAGCTTTAATGACGCCTATTACAACTCTTTCTCTTTTATTGATAAAATTATTTAAAATAAGTAAGTATACTTGTATCTTATATTGTTGATTTGTTATACGATGCGTTGTTCTCAAAGGATGCCGGCCTTAGCAAGTTACCTAACTTAATGCTAGTGTCATTTTTAAGCATCATTGACTTTTTGAATCTTATAGATCCGTCTCTCAAAGTATGGGGGGAACTACGCGTTTATAATTGACACAGCATCTCACCATAGCCCGTTATTGACGAATTAAGCAATAGTTGTTAAGTTGGTACATATTTAATTAATAGGTTGATTATGTTGATATTCGAAGAGGCTAGGATATCTTCAATACTCATGGAGAAAGCCATTTAGACATCTCCTAGTTAGTGATGGCGCCCGTTAAGGAATAAATGCGACAGCAAGTAGGTAATGAAATAAGCATTTTCTTACTTTGGCATCTTTAGCATAATATAGTCTTGTTTATTCCAATTGAAAGCTCTTTCTACAGAAGTGACAACACAGCAGCGAGGGAAAAGATACCGAATTGTAGTTAACGGTATAATGCTTGATAAGGAGGGATACATCCCATCCAAACTCCTAACCAGATAAAATATATATACAACGGCATGACGCACCGAGATACACAGACAAGCCAGCTTCTCCTTAACCTACACCACCATCGACGACTACACCATTTAGGAGGCCACTCCACAACAATTGCGATATAGCTGTGGACACTTCCAACATCTTGTGCCTGCACATAGTTGTCAAGTAGCAACGTATTTACCAACTGTTCCATCTAACATACGTACGCCTTCTTGACCTCCAAGGTGTACGCGGATGTGTTATTTCAGGACCGAGAAGATTCAAACAGTTTCATAAGCGCTAATCACGTTCTTATTCCCTGTTTCAATCACCATTGCGACGACAGACTGCTCATAAGTGTGAGTTCGTGGAGATTGTCTCCGTCTTCGGCACCCTGTATGCGGGCGTGCTTGTCACACCGTGGGGGATCTGCTGCAAGTGTATTAACCGCGCTGGATGCTGGATTAAGTACCTACTAGGTAGCTAAGCACAGAGATACGTAGGCGAGAATGTGTTGTTCTAGTGACAGCCTCAAAGTTGCGAGTGCCGAGTCCGGCACCGTAAACTCGGATGAATTGCCGCGAGAGCCGTGATAAAGCGCGGTGTCCCTGCGCGGCACCCTACTTACAGACACAATTGCGCGGATCGAGCCGAAGGGTGTAAACAGCGTACATGTCGGGCGTAGGCTAAGCCTCATTGATGTCCTTGCAGGTGTTGAAGGGTTATCGGAGATAAGGCTACAGCCCAGATGTGTGACCTAACCAAGTGCATGAATGTCCTGTGTAGTGTATGGGCTAGTATGCAGTGTTAAAGGGAACTGAAGTGTAGCCTATGTATGTTGGTTAAGGAAAGTAGAAGCATTTATTTATACTTCCTTTTAGTTGCTAGATAACTCCTTGGAAACTTATTGATATGTTGAGTTCTTAAACACTATTCTTAAGTTCTATTCCTTGGATATTTACTCTCCCCTATTACTCCTTTTTATTCTTCCAAACAGATATTTATTTAAATCGTGCCTATAAGTCATGTCTCTCCAACCGAAAGAAAATAGTCACGACTTCCTGGCCATCAATATTGTTCCGGGACCTTTTATGCTGCTGGCGGCCGTGTGCATAGTTCTGCGTTTCGTTCACCATCGCCGGAAGGGAATTGTTTGGTGGGACGATTGGGCCATCTTGGCAGCATTCGTTACGGGCGCTGGGGCATATATTTCAGGTCTTCTATGTGCCTTAGCAGGTTACCGCATCGACGAGTATACGATTTCGCAGTTGAATACATGTGCGAAGGTGGGCTTAACCCCTATATCAATGTCTTCTTCCCCCATCAATAAACGAAAACTGATAGTATGTAACAGACGGGCCTCGCGGGCGAAGTTCTCTATACGGTCAGCGTTGCGTTCTCCAAGATCTCGGTTTTGCTGTTTTATAAACGCATATTTGATGTCGATACGCAATTCCTGCTGTTTGCACGCATCATGACAATCCTCATTGTCGAGGCTTGCTTCATGTACACGTTCGGTCTTATCTTCACTAATATCCCGGCAAAAACACAGTGGAATGTCAATATGCTTCATACGTCAATAAACGGCATGGCATTCTATGTGACCATGGGCACTATCAACATACTCATAGACGTAGTTATCATAGGCTTGGTCCAGTGGAAAGTATGGAAGTTGCAGATGGCTTATCGGCGTAAACTTTGGATATCTTTTCTATTTCTCCTAGCTATATCGTATGTACTGGAGAGTTTCTATTTATTGTTGCATATTTCTTGAATTAATCTTGCTAACCTATTCAGATCTGTTGCCTTCGGTATTTTACGCATTGTCTATACCGGCACTATGAACCCCAACAATGCTGCGTGTAAGTTAATAGAAAGACAGTCCGATATTCGCGTAACCAGACTAATATTTCCCCCTCAGATACTTTGACGCTTGCTTGGCTATGGGCGATTCTGGAACTTTTCTTATATATCATCTGCGCTTGTCTGCCCATCGTCTATAACCTCTACCGCTCAATATTCCCCAGCCGTTCCAAGAATGACACATGGAAAGCCAATGCGATCCAGTACCCCCAGGTGATGCCTGGCAATAACCTTCTTAAAGAAAAGAGGAGCAAATATCACGAATTACACGAGGATACGTGTGCTTTCGATAATTTCGTTGCGTACGGGGCTCAAAACGAAGACCTAAAGAAAACACAGAGCACAGAACATTTAGCTCGTCCGGAACGAATATTATACCATGAGGAGATCTATGGCCAACTCGAAATTTTAAAAAAGAATTATGCAGCGGAGCAGAGGTATATAGGTATAGGTACCTCTGTGTAGTCCATGCCACCAGGCCGTTTAAGCTGGTTCTTTAGCTTTCAAGGGACGTCGTTTAACCTGGACGCCTCGGTCTTGGACGGCCTAATAGACCATCTCTTGACCAGAAAGCTATTTTCCTTAAAAAGGCTTACTGTGATAGGCGCCGGAATAGGGGTGCTAACTATCCGTCTCGTGGAGGCAATGAAGTATAAGGGCGTGGGCTAGTAGGAGCAGCATGACTACCTAATAAAACTAATATCCCAACAGTTTTCTTCGGGCTAGTTATGCCAAAGGGAGGTTTTATAGCAAGCAGCCTTGGGAAAAGGAATTCCTGGGTCTTTGATGTCTCCCAAGATCTCGTTCAGAAATTTGACCTGAGCTATTATGTTATATCTTAGGGTTTACAAGGAAATTTGTATGCATTGCTATATATAAAATGATACAACTATCGCACCCAATTATACTGCCCAAGTCCTCAATAGGGACCGCACTGCGCTAATACTGATCTTCAAACATGGTGCTTGTGGATATATACAAAGGTATTTAATATTTCAGGATTCCCCCTAATAGTCGCAACCCTCTTACAACTTCGCCACCATCTTGGCGCCTTGGTTTAGCATCGCTGTGGCGTCCTCAATGAATTCATCCACAACGGCCTTTGCGCTCTTCTGCTCGTTCACCAGCGCGGCACACTTGCCCATCAAGTAGGGCCGGAACTGGTCCATCAAGTCATCTACATCCTCTTCGCTTTCGTTCTCCTTGCCTGAGCCTTCGGCCGTGCCATTCGCCACCTTCTCCAGGTCGTGCTCGTAGGGGAGGATACCCTTGGCAGTCAACTCCTTGATCTCGGCTTGGCGCTCGGTCTCCCAGTTCTCGATATACGGGTTCTTCCGCACCCGTAAAGGCCGTCCAGTGAAGATGAGGGTTCGGATTGTGTCGTCGAACCCGGCAGTTCGTACCGACTCCTTGTGCGACTCGGGCGCTCCAGCTTCGTCGACTAAGATGAAACGGGTACCAACCCAGACAGCGCTCGCGCCCATCATCAGCGCGGCGGCTAACATCTGGCCGTTATGGATACCACCGGCGGCAATGACTGGAACCTGTTGGCCGGATACCACGCTCTTTTTTCCTTTGCAAATCTGCACACACGCCGGAATCAGGACGGTGGTCGGAACATCTCCAGTGTGGCCACCACCCTCACCACCCTGCGCACAGATCATGTCGCAGCCGATGTCTAGCGCCTTTTGGACATGCTTGGGGTGGCCGACCATATTCATGTAGTAAATACCGTGCTTGTGTAGCTTGTCGACGACGGCTTTGGGTGGTACACCGACAGCGGAGACGAAGAGTTTGGCTCCCGATTCGATAACGACGTCGATTAATTGGTCGAGCTTGCCTTTCGTGTAATCATAGCTACATTTCAACCCAGTTAGCTGCTGTCGCCGAGTACAAGCGAATACTCTAAGATTATCAAGGCTTACTTTGTTTTGCGGGCCTTGCCGCCAACCTGTGGAAGTAGCAGATCGATGCCGAATGGCGCATTCTTGTCATTGAGATACGATTTCAACTCGTCGATTTGCTCCTTCAACATGTCCGGGCTATAGGACATGCCTCCGATGACACCGAGACCGCCGGCATTCGTGACAGCAGCTGCGAGCTTGGGGCCAGCTGCGACGTTCATTCCGGCGAGAAAAATAGGATGGTTGATCTTGAAAAGATCGGTGACGGGAGTACGGATTCTCTCTGTAGGATTGCATTTTGTCAGTGCTTTACTCATGAATAGGTGTAGGTTTGTTGGCTTGTGACATACGTGGTGATGCCATCTTGACTATCTTGGGTGTTGATGTAAAACTGTAAAATACGATAAGATGGTGAAGACGCTTCTTTAGCTTGTTCTGATTAACTATATCAAGAAATCTGGGGTAGATTAAGTAGTCAGAAAGAACAAGAAAGTAAATCTTAGATGCTAGAGATGGGAATGCTAAGAGGGAGAAAGTCTCGGTATCGGCAACACGCGCGGCAATGGGAATAGTAATAAGAACAGATGGAAATGTGAAAATCGGGGTATATCCAGGATTTGGTATGCGATCTCCCCAAAGATTAAAGCTGGGGAAGCCGAGGCTAAGTCTTCAGAGGCCTAGTCCAATCCGGGACTTAGCCGAACCGAGGCTTCTTCTTAGCGTGACTATTGATTATGTACATACTTATTTATATACAAGCCCGTATCTTCTTCAGATGTGTGAATGCATCTTTGTCATAGCAACCTACCTAATAAATTATGAAGTGTGTTAAATATGTTGACGATGGAATCACTTCAATACATCCCACTTCTAAAAAATAATTCAAGACAAAAGCTGCTGCCATTTTGTCATTCTAGCAAATAAAGACCCCTTAAATCAGATCTTATTTTACATGACACAGCATACAAGTACATAAAGTACATACGTATGTACTTCATGTACCTAGATTAAACCCGTATAGGAGATAAGATAAGGGAATACAGTACGTATTGCTAAGAGGTACGTACATAGTATGAATAACCTTTAACTAGGGGTCCTTGTGGAACTTTGAATTTTTCCGGTCAGCTCCTTCGATTCAGGTGTAGTTCGAAAATCGAAAATCGAAAAGTTGCTTATAATGCGCAATTGTCCAATGAGGCAATTAGTTTGCGGGTCAACACCTCGTTCTAAGTTTTAATGAATCTTCTCTCATCAGCATGGAGCTATACATATTGTTATGCTCGAGTGTTGCCATCTCATGCCAATCTAGTTTTTCCGCTGAGCGGTTCACTTCGCGGTTCACTTCGCCCCCCTTCTATTTATTCGCAAAATCGGATCATGCCTAAAAGAAAAATAATGGATCGCCAACTCTCAACCAGTCCGTCCAGTAAATCATGCGGTTGCGCAGAACAGCGCCGCGGTAAGCGGAAAGCTTACGTTGCTCTGGGTAGCAACGTTGGCGACCGGATATCCATGATCGAGCAAGCATGTAAGGAAATGGATTCAAGAGGCATCAAAGTAAAAAGGACCAGTAGCCTCTGGGAGACCGAACCTATGTACGTTCTAGATCAGGATAGGTTTGTGAATGGAGCTTGCGAAGTATGTCTTAGTTTCTATTAACTATTCATGAATATATACTAAATAATATTCCTCAGGTAGAGACGGACCTAAAGCCCCTATCTTTACTAGACCAATTGCAAGATATTGAGAAGTCTATGGGGCGGCGGAAACTTATAGATAAGGGTCCTCGGAACATCGACTTGGACATCTTACTTTATGAAGATGAAATAGTTGACCACGAGAGACTTAAAATTCCTCATATTGGTATCCAAGAGCGTGAATTCGTTCTACGGCCTCTCGCCGAACTTATACCGCACAAGTCTATAGACGCCTCCAAGCCCTGGAAGCTCATTCAAGACTATCTTAACGAGCTACCTCCATCTCCGGAACCTCTCTCTACTTTGACCCCAATATGCCCCTTGGTAGAACCGTTGAACGCCCTCAAGCCAACTCGGAAAACACAAGTAATGGCCATTCTCAACATAACGCCCGATTCATTTTCGGACGGGGGGATACATACCCCTCATTCACTTAGAGATACAATTATGGCCTATGTTCGGGGAGGTGCCACAATTTTTGACATTGGGGGTCAGTCTACGGCACCGGGGAAGCTTGAGGTCAGTGCCCAAGAAGAGACGGACCGTGTCATACCTGTTATCAAGCTTATTCGTAGTCTCCCCGAGACACGCGATGTCGCTATAAGCGTAGACACGTACCGGGCATCAGTTGCCCAAGCAGCCGTCGATGCCGGCGCAGATATCATTAACGACGTGTCGGCAGGTCTCTTGGACCCAGATATGTTTTCTACAATGGCCCGCTCGGGCAAGACGGTTTGCTTGATGCATATGAGAGGAGACCCCAGTACAATGAGCAAACTGAACGACTACCCTCATGGGCTTATCCCGACTATTGCTAGAGAGCTACTTGAGCGGGTAGCGGCAGCCGAAGCAGCGGGAATCCGTCGGTGGCGCATCATCCTTGACCCGGGACTAGGATTTGCCAAGGTAGGCGAGCAGAACCTACAGCTCCTACGTCATTTCGAGGAGCTACGAAACTGGCCTGGATTAGAAGGCCTACCATGGCTCATAGGATCCAGCCGCAAGAGCTTCATTGGTAAGGTTACCGGTGTACCAAAGCCAATGGATCGAGTATTCGGTACGGCAGCAACCGTCGCTACGGCTGTCCAAGGCGGCGCTGATATTGTACGTGTCCACGATGTCATTGAGATGGGTCAGGTAGTTAAGATGGCAGATGCCATTTGGCGATATTAAGTTCACAATAACGAGATATTCTAAGCACGAAACGATCGTAATCAATCCTTATGAATTCATTCGTTCAATAACTAACCCTTACTTTTTTTTCCATTTTCAAACCCCTTTTCGATACTCAAGCGTTCCATATGCGAGTCCATGTTCATGCGAAATCAACGTATTACCTAACCGAGTGTCCTGTGGAAGACGGACTAAAACATCTTCCAGTTTAGGGTATTCGATCCCCTGTCCGAAACACTCTAAAACCCCACGGTAGCAGCTGGGCCTTTCACTCAGCCTTCTCCTTTCCTTTACCCTTTTCCTTGGCCTCCTCCTCGGCCTCCTCCCTAGCCTTGGCCTCGGCTGCCCACTTCTCCAGCAGGGCTATCGCCTTGCGCTCCTTTGTTGCTTCGGCCTCCTTATCAAGCTTTTCCTGGAAAGTTGGAGTTATCTTACCACTTGGAACGAGCTCGGATCCTTGACAAGATCCTGTCACCATCATCTGGACTATCTCGAGGCTGTCTTCGTCGTTGACGCATGCGTCGATGACGTCGTCTGTCATGGCCAGGATGGTCTCGGCAACCTTGACAACTGTACGTTCGCTCGCGACGAACCGGCGCACCTTGGCGAGGATGACCGGTCTGGCCTCATGGTAGTTCTTCGTGGCATCCTCTAAAGCCACCGCGTAGAGGGAGTAGTCGCACTCCTCGTCACCAGAAGGGACTTGGGGCAGTGTATCACGTACGACGGTTTGAGACGGTCCCGCTTCGGATACTATGGACGGGTGCTTAGTCTCGGCGTCCAGATCGTCACGACTGTGGGTTTCGTAGTATAGCTCAGTGGGCTGATCAGCGCATCTAGTGGGTGTCGATGGCCCAATAATGCCAACAGGACGAGGACGACGTGGTAAGCCCGTACGATGAGGGCTACCGACGAAATCCGAGGGGCTAATATCCATCTCAGCCTCTCGGGTGCTTGGTTCACTAGTATCAGAAGTACCAATGACAGCACTAGCAGGGTTGTTGGAACGTCTAATAGGAGACGGGGTGGCCGGATTATCGGCGTCATTGGCATGATCAGTGACAGGGTTAGGAATGGGCTTTATTGAAACCTCTCCTGTGCGGAGTTGCAACATCATATCGTCGAGTTGCAAAATCTTTTAACATAGTCGTTAATAAGTACGCTTCGGTCAACAGTTTGGTGCTATCGTATTCGCTGGGGCTAGGGGGCAGGGGATTACTTTTGAGAGAAAAGGCACTTACTTTCTGACGAAGTATGCGGATGAGGTCCTTCGAATTCTCGCTATCTTCACCGACCTCTTGAGTCGCGCCAGTGCCGCCGACCTCGTTAATCTCCTCCTCCAATTCTACATTGTTGTTATCACCCTCTACGGGCGGGTCGCTCTTCACGTCGTTCAAGGACGTGCTCTCTACGGACCCTCGAAGAGTTCGTGGTCGTGTCACGTTGCGCTCCCGATTGAAATCAACTAGGAACGCCTTGTCAGGCACCAAGATCTTCCAGGCCTCCTCGAGCATCATGGTTTCTCGAGCGATGTAAGCGGCTACGGGGTCGTCATTAGGATATGCCCGGAGCGGTTTGTTTAAATTGCTCATAGTAGCCGACGGGCGTAGGCGAGGAGGGGAAACATTTCCACAGCTGGTCTCTCTGAGGTCACGGATGTTGTACGCTGAGGTACTAGTCACAAGTCGATGTGCTCCTGGGCGACTATAGTTGACCGGTCTAGCGGTCTCAACCTGGATGTCGTTGATGGTAACATCTTTGAGCGATTCTGTAAGTGAGTGTGAATCTTCATCGACGGGATGATAGCTACCACTAGGGGCTTGGTTAGGGGTTGTCTCGTTGACACCGGGGGCTTGGTTAGAAGCTGTCTCATTGACAACGGGGACCGGGGCTGTGATGACTTCATTCGTGGTCAAGGCAGTGCCAATAGGGAATGTAGTCAAGTCAGGAGAATGTCCAGTCAAGTCAGGAGAATGTCGCTGTGGTTGTTGATTTTCTCCCTCGTTGCTGCAGGGGAGTGTCATCATTTCGAACTCCGGTAGCTCGTGAATCTTACGGCGGCCGCCGCAGGTGGACATACAGTTACCCATGGTGTATGTATGTGAAGGTTCCTCAGGCAATAATTAAATGAGTGGAAATGGGGATCAAGTCAAGGCTTCGACAGAAGCAAAAGATGCGAGCACGAAATCAAAGTGACGAGGAAGGGAATTGGAAGGGAATTTAAAAGAGTGTGGACTCATCGCCTAGGGAGCTTGGTTGTAATGACCACGAGGAAAGAGGCGAGGGGTAAGTGAAGGTAACGAAGTGAATGGGTTTGTGTAGTTTCAAAGTGTGGAAACAAAAAAGGAAGCAGTACGCATGAGTTGCAAATTTTTACAATGCTTGGTTTGGTCTGAAAATTCCGCCCAATGAATTAATTCTCGGCATGCGGCTTGCGAGGAAGTTGTCTGCGGCCGTGAAGTTGTCACTAAGTTCGGACCCTGGAGCCGGCTTGCAAGGTACCCGGAGCGGAGCGCCGAGCCGCACTAGGACTACCTCCGGAGGTGGCCCCGGCTTCTGCGGTCCGAACTAGTACAGCTTGGCCAATGGGCTTCCGGGGCTGTCGGCGATGTGGACTTACGAGAGCTTATTCTTGTTTGCTTCCTCACGAGACTTGACTCACTGATTACTGGACTCATCTGATCGAGTTTCAGGGCTTTGTTATTCAAGACAGGCTACAAAGGATCCTCGAAACTGTCCGTTCTTTTCTGGCCATGTTTGCTGCACGGAGAGACGGTATATCAACTATGCAAGTCGAAGTATATGAGGATTAAGGGGCTACGTAAAGGGGCTGCGTAAAAGGGAAAAGGGGTTACAGCTTTGACAACTAGGTTTAAGCAAAACCAAGATCGATCTTGTTATTATGCCATAGCAACAGATATAAGTGACGATTTCTACTATATATAAATGCATAGATCATATTATTAGCTATTATATCACACTCTGACTGAGCGGCAGGCTGGGAGGCTTTGATCTTAAAAGTAGTAGAAATTAGGACCTACTAGATATTATTTCCAAGGAGACGAAAATACCCTGTGAATTTTTAAAAGAGAAAGGAGAACGTACTTGAGCGTTCTGTTTTATAAGAGGGGGATAAGTAGTAAACTTTGCCTTTGAAGTGCAATACATTGGTTTTTCTCACGCTATGGATACGGGCTGGGTTATTCGGTGTAGGGAATGAATTATTGCACCGAACTAAGTACCTAAGATAGATTGCTCTTTCACGCCTCATTTGACATTGATAGTTTCATCGTAATCTGCTTGAGCAGCGACCATATTGCGTTGATTCAGTCAACAGACTTGCCTACCTCTCCCGTAGAACTACAATCCAACACGACCCATTTACGGTCACAATAATCATGGCAATGCTCCGAAACCTATAGTCGAAAGTGACGACTATTCCTAATATCCCTGTTTAAGTGCGCTTTATCACATATAAGAACCCCTGGGGCAGCATTGGGACTGAATAATGAGAAGGGGAGCAAGAAACGGGGACACGACTAGAATAAAGCACGAAGAATTATGCAACTCAGTAATTAAAGCAAGACTGCCGATATAGCTACAAGACCTTTATCCTATTTGCCTCAGTGATATAAGGTTCTAATCGGCCGTTCTTAACATTTCCGTTCAGGTACGTTTTATTCTTGTGCACAAGAACCCTCAACACGGCAACAAATTGGAACTGTAGAAGACAAGTAAAGAATTCGGTGTTAGAGATAACTAACGTTAGGTATATAAAGAGCTGAGACTAGCTAACAGGTATTCTAGACAACGGCTAGCTTATACGAGTTGAGTGTTTAAAAATTAAATCTACTTTCGAAGCTTGTGATATCAACTCGGACGGTAGGTATTTCTCAATATTTACTTATACCTAGTGCTATATCAAGCAACCGTTAAACTACCCAAGGTACCTAACCTAGTTTTAATCGCATAGTTAGTTATAAATAACACCCTTTTCTATTATAAAATTTACGCAGGGCCTAGGAAGCCTTAAAGGGAGTCAATACCAGGTCCTGCGGTGCTAAGGCTCATAGGTATAACAACTCCCACTACGCAGACGGACGGTAGGTGAGCGGTGGTGATACGATATTTCACTTCTCGGCTCGAAGACTCGGGAGCTCCCTCGCGGCAGCTAATGCCGTGCTACTTCTACTTCTACTTCCCCTTCCTTTCCCCTTTCCCCTTCCCCCTTCTCTACTGGCGTGCCTAACATTTCCAGAATCTCAAACTCCCAGTTATCCCAACCCAAGGCTGAATCTAGCAAGCGACACAATACTCTCCGCCTTCAACACCTACTACTAGTCTTCAAGTCTAGTCTCCCGAAGCAGAAACCTACCTACCTACCTACCTACCTACCTATCTATCTACCTATCCGTCTTGTCTCACACACATAGCCTTGGTCCCAGATCCTCTGGGGAGAAAACACTAGCGCTGTGCGACTACGGGGGCTGGTGTCTCGGGAGTGGCGTAGCTTAGCCCCTATGCCACGGCAGTAGGCTACGCGTACGGGGGTATAGCTAGATGTAAATATAGATCCAGGTACCTAATGTATCCATTTCAATGCCGCCTTCGGTCTTCGCCCGCATGGCCATCTTGGGGGCGGTCCCGGCCGATGTTGAAAATTTTGCTGACTTGGCTTCTTAGGTACCTTGGCTACTCCTATTCGGTTCTATTACACCTTTCCCCTACGTAACATAGCATCAGGAATTCAGTCACATGTGAAATTCGCCTGGTCTGTTAGAGACTAGAGTGCTTTATCTATGTATTAAATTCCCACTTCGTGATTCTATTTTTAGCCGCCTTGTCCAACACACCTCTCCACATTGTCGCTCCCTTGCGTACAGGATGCACGTGTAAGGTGTAAGGTATGTGGATGGTTAATACATCATAGCCCAACAGCCCTTATATCCAGCCCTACCTACGCAAAATCCGGGTTCACTGCATTCCGGCAACCCCGCCTTAATATGTCTTCGCCTTTGCCATACAGTAGCTATAACGTCTAGGATGTCAATTACAATATAACCTTAGTTGTGATTTGTATATATACCTGCCGAGAGCCATCACGTTATCGGGTAGTAGAGGATTTCTAGGGACATAGCAAAGCTCGAGAATGCGATCAAAGCCCGTTGCGCTTGGAGAAAAGGGGTACACCAGATCAATAACCAAGATTGCTCCACCTAGGGGTACCTAGATATTCGGGGTCTAGAATACGCCTTAATATGAACCAGCATGCTAAGTTATATTGGCCTTTCCTTTCTCCACATACAGAACCAAGATAAGTCAGTCACGAGAAGCTCCTAGAACCAGTGTAGAACAAATGCCGGTACCACCTCGCCCCGTAGTGTACCAAACTTGCAAACTGCACACTGTCTACATACAACATACAGTAAGGGGAGATGAGGTAAGAGGTAGGTTAGGTACCTAAGGTAATCAGACTATACCCAAACAAGGTAAAATAATAACTGATACCTAAAAAACAAAAAAGATCTCAAAGACCCGGAGTTAGATTAGGGAAAGCCAACAATACAACGCAGATAAAAGCTGCGTCACGAATCAAGATTCAAAGAAGGCTCCAGGAACTCCGGATGGCGTACATTTTCGTCATGCGTAAGCCCGTATTACAGCAGCAAATCGTCAGTGATCTGCTGCTAGGTACCTAAATCCTGCAAGCCACAAAAGCTCCCCTTACACTACATACATAGAAAACCCCTGTTTGTGACACCCCGCGCTTACTCGACTTGACCTTAGCTCTTTGTCCCCCAAGTCAACAGAAACCAACAGCAATGGAGAAGAGTCTAGAGTTACACGGGCGTTTATGTTGGTTACACCGTTAGTTGAAATTAGTTGAAAGAGTCCCTGTACCACGTAATCTTTTGAATATTGTAACCGTGGAGAAGCGTCACGATTGGAGGAACACTACGCGGCCAATATTTGAATCATTGGCGGCGGTGTAGATAACAAACACCACATGCCCCCTTTAGTCTCTTATGTAGGTAGATAAGTGGTAAGCTTTTGCTTGCTGACGGCAGTTGCGGCGGATCCTCCAAGGTATTGTATTAAATTGAGTGCATGGCTGGTAATTGTCCCGTACTGATCGGCATTTCGCTTGTTCGCTTGTTCGCTTGTTGATAGGCTTAAGGGGAGCTTGCCTAGCGGACATGATCTGTCGAATGTCACACCAGAGAAAGGCCGTCTCATTGGCTGATTGGTCCTTAGCTCCCAAACAATTACACCCCGGCACGAACTGTACGTGCTGTGTACTATGTATGTAGCACACATATCGTCAAATATGCCGCACCCGTGTCGCAAGAAGCGCGGCGCAGTGGTTTGTAGTATTCGCAATACGTTGCACAGAAGGACTCAACGAGATAACATACATAGTCCCCAATCCTGTATGTGCACGGCACGGTTTTTCGTACGACAGTATTTGCATTTGGTACCGCCCCTCCCCACGGTTGTAAGAATGACCTGTCATATTTTTCGATTTAGACGCAAACACAGTGTAAATTCTGTACCGCACTAAAACACATGTGCCCAAGGGAGTTAAACCGACCTGTCATCTCCATACCTTCTTTGCATGCTGTTTGTCAAGTTGGACAAGGCATCGACAAGGCATCGACAAGCATCATCAAGCATCATCAAGCATCGTCGTCTGACTCAGCCACACCCAAGCGGGATCAAGCCGCCATGTCGTGTTGCGGAATCCTTTCCATGTAAAGTAGCACAAGGTACCGCGTAGGGCTGAGTAGGTAGACAACGGAAGTAGTGTAACAGAGGGCTGTAGATGCACGTCAGACACATCTTCGGGGTGTATGTACGTACATACTGCAGAGCGGCAGAGCGTAATAGGGGGGAGCACTCGGGAAGATCGTGATTGCTTGCCATGGCCCTATCTTCAATTACTTGCCGACGTATTGTAGGCCAGTGGAGTGACATCACCACCAGACCGGAGCCCCCTAGAGGATTACATACGGTCCCGCATCTGCGCATGTACCTACTATGGTAGCATTGTGTGGCTTGCGAAGAGAGAAGCTATTTGCGAATGGCAAGATGATCCGAGCACGCCGTCGACACACGCACGGCCCAATCAGATGCATCCATGCAAGCAACCACAAGTCCGCGTGGAGAGCTTAGCCCCCAAGATACAAGCTGACTGACTCACCCATGTCCATCCCATGTCCATCTATGATTGCCTGGACTAGAACCACCTTGGCGGACTAGGCAGGGAATGCTCAGAAGGGATGCCACGATACTCATCTGCCAGGTCAGAGCGGTGAGAACTTAATTAGGTAGACATGATCGTTGATTTGAGGGTGGTGGCGCGTACGTCCTATTAGGTAGCAACGTCGATTCGAGTCGAAGCTGGTACTGTAGCAGGCTTACCACCAGAAGAGACGCTGCACCGAGCAGAAGGATTGGATGGTACAGTGGGAAGGATTTGATCTTGGTACTTACCGGAACTCGGCAAGGGAAAATAATGATAGAGATCCCGCCTTTGGAGTCATTGGTGATAAGTGGTTAGCAGATAGGAAATTGGGAAATGGGGAAATGGGGAAATGAAGGGGCACGCAGGGAGGGGGTTAGGAGAAGAAGCTATTAGTTAGCTTGAGGGAATTTAGATACCGGTATGCTAAGCGGCGTCAGATATAATACCTTAAGTACCTAGGTAGGTAGTAAGCCTTCCGGTGAGAAGACGGGGCATTCAATACCAAGCCCGGGTATGCAGGGCCAGCAGCCATTGTCCACTGCGTTTGCGGGATGGTACATTTACCTCCCGTTTGAAATCAAAAATTCAAAATTCCCTCCTGCAGAACATCGGAGCTTGATGCGACACCGCCGGTCGAGTCTAATTACCTAATGTAGGCTGGTAGGTTGGATCGATGGATCGATGGATCTCACGATTCGAACATGAAAAGGGTGTATAATGTGGTAAAGGGAATTACACCACAACGATTCAACCATTGACGATTGGTAGTTGCCTAACCTTGGCCTGTTTTCACCTCTTCAGCAAGGGTGCTAAGGGGTGTATAAAAGGGGTGTATAAAAGGTGCGAGATAGAGAATAAGGATACGCGGCCCCCAAGGCAACCAATGTCGGCCAACAGCACGATGGTCGACAACGTGCGTCAAGGGTGCTATCGTTATTCTATGTATTCCGTATCAAAGCTGCGGCGGGTCTGTCACTCATGCATTGGTAGGTTCCGGATCCGCGATGGCGGGTCCGGCTAGAAAATTTTCTTGACTTGAAGTATGTAATAGTGACTGCGACTATGAGTGACAGGGGATGGGATCATCTTTCTCTCGACAGGCAACTGAACAGGAACAGGAACAGGAACAGAAACAGAATTTGCGATTGGGAGTACAAAGTCAATCGAAGACACGAAAAAACTCACCGTCCGGCTTCCCCGACCACTCTCCACGACGATCTGTGAAAGCTCCACAAAAGCTTATTTAGACCGCGCACCAATTAGCGCAGGTACAAGTTTCTTATATTATATTGCAGAGGTATCCTTAGGAAGTTGAAGGAGGGGGGAGAGTAAAGAGGTAGGTACCTAACCTAGGAGAGGACCTCGGGCCGCGTCTCACTTGCATATACAGCATTGCTCGTATGCTAAGCAATTATGTCTGGTTAATTATTGCTTATTCTATAGTTGTTTTCTCGGCCGTAATGTAATCTCTTTGCTGATTCTGAAACTTGCTTTCAAATCTGACAAAAGCCATAGTTTAAGAAATGAGAAAATCTATTGGGCCGTCAACGGGAGCGGCTAGAATCCCGGGAAGCTAACTGACCGGTCTCTTCACTACGACTCGTACGGCTCATCCTGACTGTTAAGCCAATAAGCCCAAATTCACCGGTGAATAAAGCATCGGCTAGACGAGTGTGGTTGTAGTAAACGTCGCTGCGACAATAGATAGAGCCTGGATGGAAAGATGTAACCTGCTTGAGCTTAGGGATTTACGTACTGTATGAAGGAAAGGGAGGTGCGTAAATAAGTGCCAAGCCATCTATATGCGCGCGCGATTGGATATCGGAGGGGGAAGATGGAAAATGGAGCGCAACAACTTATCATGTCGCAGTAGGCACATTGTCCACAACGGCAGGGAAATGCAAGTGTGGGAAAAGGCGTAAAGATAAAAAAATTATTAAGATAAAAGAAAATAAAAGTCTCTTCGGTCCCGAAATTATTTGGATAAAGTAGACATAGCAAATAGTAGGCAGCAGCAGCCTATATTACATATAGCAAGGAAACTACGAGGCCTTATGTCCAGCGCGAATCTCGCTTCCTATTTAGGTACCTAATGTAGGTACCTTAGCAGGGTAAGCTGTTCCGTTTCCAAGTACCTAGAGTTCCGTAACCCACCGTATCTACCGTATCTAACCTTCCGTGCCTACCTAATGGTTTAGGTACCTACCTCTTAGTATCCGCCTAAAGGTATCGTTAGGATAAGCTACTGGAGCCCAAGATTTTTGTTAGTGTAGCTCAAGCCCCAAGTTTAGCGCATAGCGTAGATTACGTCCTGGACTGGTATGTACTTAGTGTACACTACTTGCAACGTCAACGTCAAATGTGGGGTGATTTTCATCTGCTAAGTTCCACTGTTTAGATAGCACTGATACCAAGGATCTCTTTGATCGCATGCCGATATGTACTAGGACCCTAGTTGCTTAGCTCCATAGAATTCCATAGGTTAGGTAGGTTCCGCAAGGAGGATCCCCCTGTCCAGTTGCCTTACACCCGCCCGCTGCATCGCCTGAACCCTGGCTGAAAAAAGCTGCCTTGGCCTTACGTCTTTTGCCAGGCCCTACTACACTACGCTCCTATCATGGTGTCGTGCCTTTAGTGCAACCTAGTTCCCGTTGTGGGGCATAATGAGGCTTTGCAAGTCCAATTTGAACGACCTCCCAACCTGATGAGCTGCTGGCTTTCACGAAAAAAAGCAAATCCCCCATATCCCCCATACACTACTACGCATCCTTCGTTCTGCCAAGGACCTCTTCGCCGTTGCGCTCTCATGTAGGGGTACTCATTGGTGCAGTGCATTGCCCCGCTCCCCCTTTCGCTATTCAGTTTGCATCTACCTACCTAAGCCGAACAAGTTCTTTTTTCTCGAGTCTAGTTCAGGATTCTCTTTAATTGGCTGATGCGTATTAGTGTGGAGTTATGCGTGGATAAGGCGTCTCTGCTTTGATCCATAGGCATGCACTGATCCGCTCTCCCGCAAGACAAAAGATCCATTCCCGTGGCCGAGAGAGGAGGGAAAAAATGGAAAGAATGCTATGTTTTATCTTTCGACCAAGAAGATACAGGGAAAGCAATTCTGAGCGCATAAGCACCACCATCAGCGACAGAAGGCCTTTCTATTTTCACCTTGCGCCACAAACTGGGATCCCGTTCTTCGGTCCACCCTAAACCTAGTCGTCTCGCGAGACTTGTAAACACACATTCCGCCCAAACATTCCTCCGATCACATCGAGACAGGAGAAGGCGAGTTGCATCAAGTTAGTCTCACCAGGAGGACTCGAACTAGCGGGCCACAGCAGTTGCCGAGTTGGGGAAGTTAAACGCAGACACCCGTATAATCCGTCTTTCCCAACGCCGACCATGAGTATTTTTTTGCGTAGTCTTCGTCAAATTTTCAAGTAGATGAATGAAAGTCGCTTATCCTTCGTTTCTCGAACCGTCTCGAAAACACCATAAAGCATCGCACCGGGGTATCCTTTCCGTTATCCCACCAGGTAAAGTCCATATTTTGTAGTATATCCCGACCACATTGCCGGGGTCGTAGTTCATTCTTCGTATATTCCCACATTCGCCCAAATTCCCCATAAAACCATATCCTCTCTCGGATTCTTTCCCTCTACCGTATCCCATCGTGCGCCGCCAGTCCCGCCTCTAGTGATAGACGCGGGAAAACCAAAATCCAGAAAACAGATATGCTTTTCATCTCCGATGGTCATGCTAGACGCAGTAGAACTTAACACTTAACGCAGGTGACGGGAATCTGCCAAGGAAATATATTGTGTATACCAGCCAGGATGCGGCCGAGTACACTTCTCTATGCCACACAATATTCGTATCACCCAGATTGTGGAAGCATGGTTGGCATGGTTGGGTAATAACCTGTCGATGTTGGCTTCCCTTCAAATCGACTGCAGCCCCGGTAGTAAGCATTTCCGGGATTGTATAGAATACTCGGAAGGGGACCTTCGTATTCGTGTTTGACTTTCGACGAGCTCGAGTCTCCCGCTGGTGGGGCTGAAGTCATTAGGCTGTCCGGCTCGCCTCGGTGAGAGAACATCTCAACACCCTGTCTCGAATCGGTACCTTCGTAGATAGGCGCGGGATAGTATTGATACTCCCTCGTGTTGTCGATAGCCTTGGCTTCCTCGGTCGGGATAATCGGCTCCGCTGGTAGCTCGTGATGGCGAGTCCCCCCATAATGCCCCGATCGTGGATCGTACGCCCCGCCGCTAGCGTACGAGCCTGGAAGAAGCGAAGGACCGCCCGAGCTGCCGTAATCTGGCCCTAACACCTGCGATCCGGAGTAACCGCCCATCCCGCTTGATCCACCGGGTCCGCTACTAGTGCTCCCACGCCTTTCCGTTTGGTAATGCCCAGGGGAGCGCCCTCGTACAATCATCTTTGCGGATTTCCGTGATGCGATCTTCATAAACTGGTCTTGGGCTTGATTTCCCACATCTGCATATAGCTCTACAACTAAATGGTAGTACTGCTGAGCCGCTCTTCGTTTACCATTGTTTGCCGTCGCCTGCTTAAATTGGATCCTTTCGAACGTGTGTTCGCTTGGGTAGGACCCCTGCGTGCTCTGCCCATAACCACTTTCGTACAAGGGTCTCGAACCTCCGGGCATAGCGTGATGGTCTTGATATAGTAGTGGATGCGGTGTCTGCTGTGGCTGCTTCGGCGTAAGTCTAACTTTCTCGGGCTTCTGTACCGGTCCTTTATCTCTCTTTGGTGTATGCTGCACCAAGTCAATTGTGTGCGAGTCGCTGTCGGAGACCACGGCAGAAATGCACATCGCAAACCCAAATACTTGATACGACGTTGACGATCCGCTGGGAACATACTGCATTGTCGTGTTGGGTGAATATGGCGACAAACTGTATGAGCAGATGCAGGAGAAGTAATTCCTCCTGTAGCACGTCCAATCTCCCTCTGACATGAAGAATCCTTTGTCGATAGTTCCGTGGATATCAATCTTGATGGGCGCCCCGGAATCGCTGTACACTAGCTGGCCGTTCGTGCTCATTGCTAGAAGCGGAGGGATATGCGATCCACCGGATTTTCCATACTGGCTAGTGTCCATTCTGACAGGGCTTGTGAAGCTAATACTGGGACTGGGAGTTGGAGATAGGGGATGGCGTCGCAAAGGCGCTGCAAAAGAAGGAGATCTCGTGTGCTCCGTTGGTCTTCCAAAGGATGGCCTCGATCCAGAGTAGAGATCTCTTACGTTGTACGCTGATGCTGGATTTGGTAACGCAGCGGAGCGGTTGGCATGTGCCATGCCCGTGGATGAGGTGCTACTACTAAGGCAGTGAGTAAGGCAACATCTGGACGAGTTACAAACGGGTGTGTTATTGAACACTATGAAGGGGCTGGGATCAATGTGCGACTTACTTAGAGCTCAGGCGCGGTGGCCTGACGTCGATCCCGGGGAAGATCTGTGAGGCTGGAGAATAGAATGATCCAGTGTCAGGGGAGTACCCCGTCGTAGTAGTGTTTAATAGAGGTGCAGAAAAACCGCCGAGCACAGAAGGCGGCTGAGGAGGGTTTTCTATCGTCAAGGAAGAAATATTGGAATCTTGGTTGTATCTAGAGAAAGCATTAGCAGGGGTCCTAGCAAATAGAAGTTGGTGTGCGAGGCTCTGGGCAGGCTAGCGAAAATGCCTGTATCGCAATTCCATGCGAGACAATGCCCAAGTGTTCAGTGCGACCAAGAGATGTGGTACTGCCAACGTTGCGTAGCACAGGGGTAGCGGATACAGGATCGGGAGCTATACACCACGCCACATAGCGGCGAACAGCGGAAGAGTCACAGGTATTTTGTGTAGCTACAACAGCCACCCATGCAACTCTTCTCCGCGCCTATAGTAAGAGGGATTTACAGGCAGTAGCAGTTAGGTGCAGATTGTAAGGTAGGTAGGTCATATGGGTGTGCCAGTAGGACCAGAGAGTAGTCCAGCCGGCACACCTCCATAAGTGCCCGAGTATTGCTGTTGAGATAAGGTGCGAAGATGGAGATGACAAAGTGATATGATGCGATCTAAGACAGGCAAAGTGAAATAAGATTGAAATAACATAAAGGTAACGAAGACAACAAAAGTGCAGAGATGATCAAGAATATTCTCATTTTTTTTTTCTTTTCTTTTTTTTCTTTTTCGTTTCTTAGTAGGCAAGGGAAACATAAAACTAACCTCATATCACCTGTAGCTGGTATGTCAAGATATTCCAGCCCAGGACACGAAGGCGGCGAAGACTCAAAGTCCTGCTAGAAGGGTAAAAATAGTCAGTGACAAAGGAGGGTAATGATGGTAAAGATAATTGGCATAGAGGTGACAGGTCTAATTAATAGAGGAGGCCCCTTGGAGGTGAGCTGCAGTCATTACCGGGCTTTGGCATTGCCGGCAGGAAATTGAGGGCTCGAGGGTTTGTGAGTAGGCCCTGTAGAAACCGGCAACAAATGTTAGCACACGAGATTGAAAGATTGTCCCTGTATTGAATGTGCTAATACAAAGGCGCAAAAAGCACGGCTGGCACCGGGGAATATGTAAGTACTTCTTGTATATGTATGATGGCTTGTCGGGTATGTGGGCAAGTGGGCAAGTGGGCAAGTATTTAGGAGTTGGCCATGTATGGTTATGTATGTATGGTTATGTAGGCAAGTAGATCAAATGGGGATGTATGTAGATGGGTATGGGTATGCCGGCCAAGATGTAGGCTAAGTCAAGTAACTATGTAGGCTAGTAGGCTGGCAGCGGATATGGGAACACGAGAAAGAGAGAAAGAAAGCGAGACTAGCAGGAGGTAAGTAGAGTGACTGCTTCAGTGAATGTGCAAGAATAGCACGGTGTTTGCTCCGGCTGCTTCCAGTTCAGTGACATATACCTTGTCATTCCGTGCGTGGCACTGTGACACCGCGGGCATGGTGCAAGATACGTAGCCCAGTGAGCTGACTGCCCCGGTACATGTAGGTAAGGTAGGCAGGTACCTTGGGATTGATGTACCTAAGGGCAAGCGCCCTCGCAAGGATAATGGAAGTCGAGGTTCCAGAAGCAGCCTTCAGGTACAAAAGTATACCTAGAAGGTAGGGTAGGTAAAGGTAGAGAATTCCCTCGAGATGTACCACGCTAAAAGACCCGGGGGGCGTTTTTTTCTTCTTCTTGTGCGACATAAAAGAAACCGGGGATTGCTGATTCATATTTTTCATCTAATGCGACAGGCCTTTTCTTGCCCACGATAGGTACGCAAGCTTTTCGAGACCACCGGTCTGGCAAACCGCCGGAAGACGGTTTAAAAGCCTACAAGGCGCACGACCTCGCCGGTTTCCGATTTGCATCGTCATCTCTTTTTTGTTTTTGTTTTTATTTTTCCTTGTCCCTGATTTGGCATACCGTTGGGGGGAAACTAGGAGGTGCAGCAGGAAGATGAGATGGGAATTGCCATATGCGGCTGCTAATAATATGTAAGGTATGTATGTATGTATGTATGTATGAGGTGAATGTGTTTGTGTATATGCGCGTGTATATGTTTGTGTGCGCGAGCGCGTATGGTGGGTTCGTGCTTAGTGCGCATGCATACGAACATGACAATATGTATACTTGGAGTTGAGATGATTGAACTGACCTTGGTTGGCCCTTTGTTGGCCCTGCTTGCTACTTTGATCTCAAAGCTTAAGCAAGCATACCCGGAGCTGCCTTGGACTTTCGTCTCCGATATCCTCAGCATCGACAGTGCATGACCCATTTAATCCAATTGGCTTCCCTTAATTAAAAGCGCCCTCCCACAGACCGGGCTCGGCGAATGCGGACTTTCTCGAACTATTTGTTGTTTTTGTTCTTCGGCGGAAGCTGATGTAAAAGGAGATGGGGATAGTCGGAGAAAAAAAAAAGAGACAAGAAGGTGCATAAGTGAATGAAGTGGAAATTTGACAAGTTAATAAATTAATATGTATATAGGTATGTATATATGTAATGATAAATATGATAAATACCTTGGGGTTAAGTTGTTGATTCATTCGAGGAGCCTCTCTGTTAGAAGAGAGGCGTGCTTCATTCGGCCGAAAAGTGGCTGATGATGCTAATAGAGCTGACAACGGAGGATTCGAAGACGGATCGTGGATTAGCTGTTCCAATAACGGTTGTTAGTTCCGTATTCTTTGCAGGGTTCCCAAAAAGAGAAATCCAAGACGACACGACACCGGCTTCACTTGAGAGTCCAGGTACTTTATCCACTAATAAGGCTTGTCCCGTCATAACGTGCCGAAGCTTTAACAATGTACCTGCAAGACGATACTTTAAGTAAATACACATAGGTAAAAGAGATATAACTAGATAAAAGTCATATAGGTATACTACCCATTTTGAGCAGATCGGGAGATTTGTGTTTTTTTTTTTCCTTCTCTTCTTTTTCCCTTTTTCCTTTAATTTTATTTTTAGGGTTTCTTTTTTTTCCCTCTGCATTCTGCATTGTAAGTATACTCATCGACTAACCACTTTCCGACCTCGATCGGTAGCAGATGCCATGGTAGATGGTAGTAGTAAAGTATGTAATTGATGTATGTCAATCTTTAGAAGTAGGGCAGGGATACAAAAATGGGCTTGCTGCGTTGCAGATATGAGAAGTCCAGGGGGCCAGGATGTACACCGACCTTTGAATAGTCCACTGTAACCATGAGTGCCAAGTAATTGACGCTTCCGCGAATACATGCACAGTCATGCAGCGAATGGTAAACCTAGACGATACAAAATTTTGTCAGCTTCTAACCCTCAAGAATAGAAAATAATGAGAACAACCGGGATAGGGGAAGATAGAAAAGGGAAGCAGAACGGATTGACAGTGCGGGTTAGCCAAGACATAACAGTTCCTATCATCTTCTCGCAGAGCCAATAGTGTAAGATGGGAACTGAGCCGCGCCGGCTTGAGTTGGGTTTAGTTACGCCGAATCAATGTCAGGTCGAGTACCTTGATACCTACCTACCTAGGTAGGTAGATAGGTATCAAATTCGTAGATAGGTCTGACTAAATCAGCCTGAAAGTTAGGTATCTTTGACGTCGACTAGAGCGTCATCGTTCAGTTTCTGACCGTATCTATCTGTATCCTGCGTCGCTGTATATGTCCTAGCTCCGCGATCTGCCCAGCCCAGTGCGGTTTTTCATCGAGATTTCGCGCGTGGCGCCTGCACAATATCCCGAGTAGAAAAGAACTAAGTACCTACTCTCCCTATCGGAAAGGGGCCCTAATATGCGAATATCTTTATGTCTTAAGCAAATCGAAGGGAGGCCCTGAGAATATGTGTCAGTACTGCTCCTCTGCTGCAGAATTCCACCGCGATCTGTGATTGATTAACATGGTGGAGGCTAAATGCACACCAACTTGCCTACCGCCAACTTGGGTCGATGGCGCCATGCGTATCAATTTGGAACAGGGCATGGGATGGCATTCAAATGAAACCATACGGACGCCATTCGATGACCCCAAAGGGCCCAAAGGGGCGCCTCGTGATAATCAGCCTCCAAAAACGTTCAGTAACCTGGCGTACCTTTTTCTCTTATCCGCACCAAGCCTCACGCTATCAAAGAATCAGCTCCCGTACCGCCGCCTGCCGGGTATAGGGTCCGCGTAGCCGGTTCGTGGATCCAGAAAAGATGATAGGCCCTGACCTAAGTTGTTCCTCGAATCAATGTAAGGGGGGTTGTTTAATCTATGTGAGTATTCTGAGCAGGTGACAAGTGCAGGTTGACAACGCAAGTGCAGCGAAGTCCGAGACGGAAGGGAATCTATATACCCTCACAGGGAATGTATTTAAAGCTTAACGTGGTGGCTTCGACTCGTACGGTGGCATATGCCGCGCAGATCTATGGAGGCTTGTAAGAAGAGACAAAAGGGCAGTGCCACGAAATGGTGCATATGGATGAAGCCAACTTCTTCAGACTCGCAGCAGCAAATCCATATATCGGCCACACTGCGGTCCTCGAGGCTTCAATGACAGGATAATAAAATCTTTGATAGGACTGGTAGATAAGCGAAGTGGGTATTGTCTATTCCCTCTTGGGACTGGGTGAGGTGATAATGGTAGCAGTGGTAGTGCAAGCTGGGTGATTTTTGAGACAGCAAGTATTAGGGTCATCTGTATATTGTGCGGAGAACTCGAGGCTTGTTCAGTCTTTTCTATTGTTAGGGGCCGACGTGCCGCTCCTTTGAATTTCAAATGAACCGGCGAGCTGCGCAGTAATGTATGAGCTGGACAAGGTATCTGGGTGTAGCCCTATGTGCCCTCTGGCCAAAGAATTCTATAGATGAGAACCTACGGGGTGGGCAGCACAGCTTGTGTGCCTGGAATCAGTGTTGGCAAAGATGCGGAGTGCGTCAAGCGAGGTCAAGTGAAGATTCTACCGAATTAGACACAAAGCATCTGGGGCAACTCAGCTCCATCTTTTCCTCATGACAATCAAGGCAAGAAGCCGTTCATTGCAGGGCTTATGCTTCAAATTGTTTTAGTCTCCCCAGCCTCAAGGCCAAACAAGTCCTAGGGTGCGGCCACGGACCCCTAATCTGCTCGGTACTGTAATTGGTATTGGTAAGATTAGGAAAGTCAGGCTTCTCCCAAAGGGGGCTTTAGTGCAACTTAGAATTCCACTTGAATATTCAGCTCTACAGTCTCCGCTAAGGATATATAATTTTCTATGATATCTTATAAGGTACCTAAATGTAGTTCTTTTGAGTCCATAGGAGACAATGTAAAGTAGTTAGAGATATCAAGAGCACCGAGACCTTGGGAGCCGATGGGTGATGAACTCCGTTCCCCTATGCATCATTTCTGCACGTACCCTACCGTCAGTGCCTCTACGAGACGCCACAAACATCTCCTGGTAATTGGGAAGGGATCTGCTTGGTCGAGTTGTGCCCAGTCCTCGGGAGACTGCATGGCAAGCCTACGACCGTTTGGTCAAATCTGGACCAACCATCGCCACTTTTAGTTAGAAGTCCTAGTCGTAAGGTATCTCTGCCGAGATCCTTAGTTGATCAGAAACGAGCAGGATCTGATGCAATTATTATCGAGAAATTGATGACCCCTAACATGAGAATCTTAGTTAGGCAAACACTAAGTAGTCCGCGAGTTAGGGGCCGCGTCCTGGAAAGATCGTACTTCTTTTAAGGGAAGCTCTCATTTCCTTTTGCCTGGGTAGGCGGAGAGCATCGGGACTTGAGGATTTAGGCTTGCATACATACGTGACTCACCACACCTACAACCATTCTATTAGTTTGGTTTTCGGCCCTACATTGTTAGCATATGGCCATGGCCTTGAGCCTGGATGTGACATCTCTCTGACGAATCCTCGGAAGCATCCGGTAGACATCAAGCATCGAGCAGGGCGTACTTGCATGCTTTTGGTAGGCTAACCTAGCACGCCTAGCGGGCTGGATCCGCAAGGTACGGACGTAGCAATAGACCACCTGAAGCCACGATCTCAAATGTCTCAATCCATGAGAGTTCTACGACTTATCAGGTAAATAACACGTGAGAAATAGGGCTGACATGAAGAAGACCTGCTGGACATCTTTTACGACAAACCCAGGTCAGAAGATGAGCTCACAGCTCACTCTCGTAGCCCGCTGTGGTTCCAAAGTATGACACCATCCCTAAAACCTAAGGTAAGGTTGAGCTTTTGACTACTAGAGTGGCAAAGAAAAAGGTATACACATTAATAGAGCCCAATTCGTGATCATCTCTACGCACTCGATCTACGAACTTGATGCGATGACCAATAGTTTACCCCTATTACCCGAGGTTTCAAGGCTGGGATCGGGAACGATAACTGTTGACCACGTCAAAAGGATGGAGCTGGAGGCCGTTCCCTATAGATCACAGAAACGCAAAGAAATAGGATTATCTTCATCATTTCACCCTTATGCAGGGCTATTAATATACCTATACGGCTTTTGCGAAGAACGGGTCCTACATGTTTATTCTGCCCCTTAAACTATAATAGTGAATGCGAACTGCCGTTGGTTTGATGAATTACATGTGTCCATCCAGCATGGTCTGTCCCCCACAAATCAAGCCCCTAAAGAGTGTAACCCCACGAACTGCTTTTAACCACGAGTTATCTAGCTACCATTGGGGCTTCAGTGCCCTTAGATACTTTAGCCTCGAGTGTCAATTGCTATAACACTGTAAACTGCTCACTAAGGTGATATCTTTATCTTATGGCTTTGACTAGTACGTTTTTCTTGTTATTATAATCGGTATCACGAAGTCAGCAAGGCGGAATGTGGCATTATACCTACATGTGAGAGGGATTTATTTACTACGCAGCAAGGCTTCGGTCCATCCGGATCGGGCCGCGGGTTCTGATATAATGCTCGTCAATCTAGAATGATGATGCAGCAATCTTTCTGTCATGTTAATGCACATCATGATCTACACGACGCAGCGGTGCCACGTTTGGCACACTCAGACAGAGCAATACCGAAAAGCCATGCTTTTCCTAAAGCATCTTGTTCTTGACTGAATGGGTGTAGAGAGGGTTGCGCAAGCTGAACGAATGATGCCCACGCGACGATTCTAGATCTTGTACGAGGTGACCACTCATTGACAATTTGAATCATCAAGGAGGGCCGTGGATTCGAATTTATATCTTTTTCTTAATTACCATATTTGGTGCCTTGTATTTCTGCATTTGTTTTATTTTGTTTTATTTTTCATTTTTTCGCTGCTGTCTTCCCTAAGCCAACCTTGTTTCCATCATCTTGAATAGCATATGAATCCCCTAAGTTGTCGAGTATAGTGTAGTAGATGTTGGAAGTATAAACCGTACGTAGATACAGGTAGATGTAGTTACCTAAGTAGGTATGCATATCACCGAGAAGCGGCAGGGGTAACACATGGTGATT